ATGCTGAAGGATGTGAGGAGGAACGAGGAGGAGATGTGTCAGTCTAACCAATCGCTGCTCAGTCGGCTGGAGGATGTGCAGGTAAGACCATGTCGCTGTTGGTCTCTGAGGAGCAGCTAGAGAGCTGTCGTTTGTCATCCCATCTCTCTGTCAGTGTTTCAGTGTTAAACAAATGTTTGGAACCTCAGTGTCTCCATTGTTTTCCTCTGACAGAGTAAGTTGGCCAAACTCAATCAAGAGCACAGGGACCTGAAGGAGAAGCTCAAGGACGAGAGGAAACAAATGGAGGAGCTGTGGAAGATGAAAACTGAACTGGAGGACGAGAGGAGGATGCAGGACCGAGCTGTGGAGCAACTGCAGAGGAAGGTGAGAGGTGGACTATTTATTGATTGATTTATTTACCCTTTCAGAGCGAGTCGTCCACTAACCAGGAGGCTGATGGTTTTATACAAATCGGTCCCCATTCCACGTGCCGAAGCGTCCTTGGTCAAGATACTGAAGCCCAAATTGCCCCTGATGTGCTGCACGTAGATGCACATGTATGAATGTGCAAAAAGCAAAAAGCACTCTTGAGTTGTCATCAAGAAAAAACACTAAATAAATACACCATTTATTTACTAGGCCCTGTGGGAGAATTCAACAAGACCTAGAAACATGAGATCAGCAGAAATAGCAGATTTTTCTTGTGCATACAAAGTTTCCTTCATCCCTTGTCTTCGTAAACACTTATCTCACTCTTTGTTTTTCCGTCTGCTCAGATGAATAACATCATGGAGGAGTGCGAGGCGTCCACAGACGTGCTTCAGAACCAGGTCGACGAGGCGAGAGAGAAGAGTCAGAGGGAGTTGGCCGAGCTGCGGAGGCAGCTGCAGGACAAGGGAGCAGAGCTGGAGAAATCCAGACAGTCGGCCAAAAAACTGCAGGAGGAGGTGTGGCACTCATTGTCTGTCTGATTCATCAGTTCGTAGCTTCAACTGTCTTAGTCACCAAAATAAAATCACAGAGTTAGATGTTATTAGACTTGATTAGATCTGTGTTCTCTTAATAACGTCTGATTTACTCGCCAACACCAAATGCCCCATGTTACCTTAACTCATAGTGTGTGTTCACTCCGTGGTCTCCTCTACGTTCAGCTCCTTCCCCTGGACGAGGAGCTGCAGCGGTGTCGTGGGAAGCAGCAGGAGGCCCAGCTGCGGGGCCAACAGCTGGAGCAGAGGCTGGAGGAGCTGGAGGAGAGGAGCGCAGCCGCCATGGAGGAGAGAGAGCGACAGGTCAAACTCATGGAGGTAAATTTCTTGGCAGAACTTCCACAAGACCGGACAAGACTGTAAATAAATATACACTCTCGTCCTGTATATAAACATAAAGGACAAGACTTATAATTATACTGGACAAGACTGTATATACAGGTGGACGACATGATGACGCTGCACACGTGACGCCAAAGTGCCTCAATCGCCCCCTGGTGGGTGGTCATAACCTCCTCCATGTTAGTGGATGGGACATGGCCTAAAATAAAAGGCCAATTTACTCCAGACTTTGTCATCGGCGCAGGATTGCAACGTTCATACCTGCAACATTTCTCTGTAAATTGTGGCCCCTTCATGGCCCCTGATTTAGAAAATCCTAGATCCGCCCCTGCAACTTATAAATGCTAAACTTAACTGTAACTCTGGACTGTTCATCTGTTCAGGTGCCAGTATTTACACTCTGTTGTCCCTGGGAACCATGAGGGCGCTGGACTGAGCCGTAGTGACAGCATCTCACAGCTCAGCACTGTTTGTCTTGCTGATGACAAAACACGACACTGTGACTCCAGTACACTCACTGTTGACACAGCGTATCAACTGAGGAAGCTGCTGTTTACAGTAAAAAGTTATCAGACCTGTCTGGGTGTTCTCAGGAATCTTCTTTTCCTCCTTCACCCCGGTTTCCATTGTGGAACTCTCTCATCAACACAGAAATCTCTCATCTGATTTAGTTTTTCAGACGCTATTATATTGGAGTTGCTTTCCCTCCAGGCTCCACACATGTTATTACCCAATAACCCTTTTTTTCTCTGAGTAGTTTCCTAACCACAGTCAAGAGTCATATTCATCATGCCCTCTGTATTATTGTGCACTATATGTTGTAATATTAGCGTATTGATGATGATTTGACACATGTTTCATGTTTTCCTCTCCCCTCAGGGACGAATCGGTCACCTAGTAGAAGATCTCAATGATGAGCGCAGCAGTGCCGACCGCCTGATGGAGCGATTAGACAAAACCAAAGAGCAGGCAGGTTCACTCCCTCTCTCTTCTTTTTCTTTTCCTCTTCACTTCTCATTCTGTATTTGCTAAAGTTCATAAATTTCCCTAAAGAAGACTCATCTGTGAAATAATAAGCTCAGTCTCTGGTGTGAACACCACAACCTACATCTGTTTTTATCACAAACAGATGTCGAGCTGAGAGCTCAGATTTCCCCTTCGACCCTGAGAGCTGCTGATTGGTGTATTCAGAGAAGCTCATTAGACGAGTTATGTTTTCGTTTCTTTAAACTCGCCGTGTAACTCCCCTGAAATATATCAGATCTCAACTTTAGATACGCGTCTTTATCTGATGCCTCACGTCCTCGGTGCGTCGGTGAAGTAGGCCACTATTCATGGGAGAAAAGTGGTGCAGACTAATTGATACTAAACACTGTTTTGGGTGCAGAGCAAGGACAAATAAGAGTGAACTATTGTGTGCAGCTATTCACACTCCCTTCACTGGGCCTCTGCATGTTATTAGAGGGGAGAGAGGCTTTAGATCTGATGTGGCCGCTCACAACAGACGGAGCATTTCCTCTGGGTTTAGGAGTTTAAGCTGGAAACTTTTCATTGAACCTGAAAATGCCTGTTGTCATGTCCTGTCCTCTTTAATAACCCCCAGGCATGTTTTTAGTCGAGAGGAAGCACATACGCACATGTCCTACCCTTGTTAACTTACCAAACATTTACCTTGCGCTCTGAGTTATGTCTGAAACTGCGTCTCACTGTGTGTATGTGTGACAGATGGATCAGATGAGGAACGAGCTGTTGCAGGAGCGAACGGTCAGACAGGACCTGGAGTGTGACAAGATGAGCCTGGAGAGACAGGTACTGACCCCTGACCTCTGACCCCTGACCCCTGACCCCGTCCCACTGCCCCCTAAAATCTACACTGACTGACACTATACTGAAACATAGAAGATCTGCTGCATCTATGTCATACGTCTTCTGTTTGATTTCCTTCTTTAGAATAAAGACCTGAAGAGCAGAGTGACTCATCTGGAAGGATCACAGAGGACCAACCAGGATTCACTGGTCTCCAAACTCAACAGTCGCATCCAGGAGCTGGAGGAGAAGCTGCAGGGAGAAGAACGGTGAGCATCTGCTTATTATTATTCCGTACGCGCATTCATCTATATGCACAGTTTGTGTTTACCAGTGCAGTGCAGGCCAACACTTTGGATAAGAGCTCCATCCCATACTTGATGGACCCACTCCTTTCACTTTCCCTGTGGTCGTAGGAGTCAGAGTGTCTCTGCTCCAAACACACTTGAGGTGTTGAGTTACAGGAAGCTGCAGCAGAGTTGTGATCTCCTGATGCTTTTGCTCACAGGGACAACAACAGCCTGCAACAAGCGAACCGCAAGCTGGAGCGCAAAGTGAAGGAGATGAAGATGCAGGCGGACGAGGAGCACGTCAACCTGCAGAGCCAGAGAGACCAGGTAGACACGCATGCTGGTTTTTTTTTTCTTTATATGAAAAAACTAATTTGAGTGGTCAGGAGCAGCAACGTCTCACTTTGGTGAACTCTGCAGCTGACTCAGAGGCTGAAGACGGCGAAGAGACAGATGGACGAGGCGGAGGGAGAGATCGAGCGTCTGGAGCACAGCAAAAAGAAGCTGCAGCGAGAGCTGGACGAGCAGATCGAGGCCAACGAGCAGCTTCACGGCCAACTGAGCACAATGAGGAACGAGATGAGGTGACCACTCGGCTTCTGCCACTCAGCTGCCATGACGTCAGACACTTCAATTTAATCAGTGTTCTTTGCATTCACAGGCGTAGGAAGAAATCTCCTCCTCTCATCAAGGTTGTGGAGGACGACGTGAACGACGTGGACGACTTTGGCTCTGACTGATTGAGGAATTTTTAATTTAATAATTCTGTATATTAACAACTCAGGTGTGATTTCATAGTGTTTCCTGTTGTGAGCAGAGGCACCTCGCCAAGGGTGCCCTCTTGTGGCGATGTGCATAACTACAATATCTGATAAACATGTTTTTCAACTTGACAGACAAACTGATTTATTTACTCCAATAGATTTTTTTCATTCCATTACTGTGTGAGTTAATGTGATGCAAACTGCCAATTTTAAACTGATAAATAAATATATTAAAATGCATATGTGTTTATACACCTAAACAGAAACTCTTAAAACAGAAATAAATCCAGCTGCATGATGTTTCAGTTAATCTGAGTTTGTCCGCAACGACACATATAAATACAAGAAATTAGATTTTAATGCACGTTTAAAGGGAAATGTGAGACAAAACTCACCCGTGGATGTTTGCGTGTTCTGATGAGGCACGAGACGAGAAGCGTGTGGTTGTACAAACGGATCAATGGTCTGTGCTGAGTGGCTGCGGAGGGGCAGAGGTGGGGATTTCAACTCTGATCAGCTCCAGAGGTTCACACACTGCTGGACGTCTGGCAGCAGTTTTCACCAGCGATTTCCACTGTGATACATGGCAATACAACACAAGAGAAGCATGAGGCAACACTGTGCAATCAAACATGGAATACTCAAGGAATTCCTGGCAGAATTCCTGGGGACGTTTGTCTTGGTCGTGAGTATAATTGTGTTTTCAGAGAGAAATATATTGTATTTAATGTTTTGTATCTGTTTTATGATTGATTTTAAAGTTTTCTTCTGAAGTTAATGTTTATGTGTTCATTTCAGTTTGTTGTTTTTGTTGTACAGATTGAATGACTTCCAATTGAAAATTTGTTTAAAGTGATTTGAAGACTTGTGGGTAAAATCCTGTGGTCCTCTCCCCCCCTCTCTGGTCAGTTGTTCGGCTGTGGCTCAGTCGCTCAAACCGTTCTCAGTCGAAACACCCTGGGTGAACCTCTCACCGTCCACATCGGCTTCTCTGTGGGACTGATGATGGCAGCGTATGTGGCCGGTGGAGTGTCAGGTAAATATGACTTGAATGCTCATATAGCAAGAGCCACAGCACCTCACTAGCAGTGTGATATGATGAACAGTTAATACTTGTTGATGGGCGATATTGATACTGCTGCTGTCACATCAACTAAAATATATAAACAGTTTTAATGCCATTGTTTCTTTTGCATTTTCAGTTTCTTTGCTGCCGTTAAATCTCCTCTTCACTGCTCAGACTCTTGAAAAGAATTGATAGTTATTCAAAACAACCTCATATAGCAAATAAAACAGTTTCTTCCTTGTGTTTAATCCAAACACAGTTAATCGTGTGGTTTGCAGCTTGTAATAATGCTACTTTAGAGCTTCCTGTCCCTCTGTGTGCCACCTCCACCGCTCCAGTGTCGACAGGAACGTGCCAGCGTTCCCTTCGAATTCAATGAATGTGTATTGGCCATTGATTTGTTAGTGCTAGTGCACAACCTCTCCAGGGTCACACATCACCCCGGGCACTAAATGTCCTGCAAACTCCATCGATCACAGGCTACGTTCACCCGTCTATGATAGAGACCGTTCGCCTCCTCTGAGCAGCATCAACACATCCAAATGACCAAGAACATTATATTCAAATAGGGTGCGACGTGCCTTACAAGCCTGCACATTACTCACATCACAATAGTACATCCACAGACAATGAAATAGATTCAGATAGGAAAAGTTTAAAGTAGGCTACTAAAGATGAAATGAGAAAATGATATGTATAAAGGATGGATGGATGGATGGATGGATGGATGGACGAAAGGATGGAACATGCAGGATCTGAGCACAGTTTGATAAAAGAAGGAACAGAGTAATTCTCACTTTCGGTTTTTGACTTGCAGGATGATTTGTGACCATTATTCTGCCTTTGTGGCCTTGAACATCTTTAACCAACCCCTGCACTGTCCCAGGGGCTGCTCCCCTCCTGCTGCTCCCCTCCTGCTGCTCCCTATAAATTTGGGGGCAGCCTTCCTCATAATGGAGAGCGTATCATGCCAGACACCCCCACCCACTGCTCCCCTCTTTCACTCTGTGCTTTGTCCTCTCTCCCAGGGGGCCACGTGAACCCCGCTGTCTCTCTGGCCATGGTGATTCTGGGCAAACTGAAGATTTGGAAATTTCCCTTCTATGTCATCGCTCAGTTTCTTGGTGCCTTTGCAGGAGCTGCTGCAGTCTTTGGATTATACTATGGTAAAACCACTGTCACTCTCTTATTGTTCATTATTATTCATGCTTCTGAAACCGTGATCTCCAAATGATTAGCTTCTCCCGAACTGTATTAAAACTGAATATGTTATAAACATCAGTATAAGCAACAATCGTGCACAGTTACAACTCTGTGTTTGTCCTGTGCACAGATGCTTTCATGGACTTCACCAGTGGAATTCTGTCAGTGACTGGAATCAATGCAACAGGCCACATTTTTGCCTCCTACCCAGCGAGGCACCTGTCAGTCCTCGGCGGCTTCATCGACCAGGTGACACACACACACACACACACACACACACACACACACACACACACACACCCCTCCACTGTGACCTGCCGCTCCCATTCAGCCTCTAAATACCAAAAAGTCTGGCAAATGTGGCTAATGCAAAATTGATCGTCCCATTTAGTCTGAGAACATCCTACTTTTGCTCGGTTTTGACCCATTTCCTGTCGTTCACTGGGAGGTCAGATCTATACTGAACACCATTTCTCAGTCTGGTGAGTTGTTGCAGTGATCCAACGATAACACGTCTACCTACCGGCTGAACTCCACATCAGACGAAGCACTAAGATAAATCCAGTCAGGTCAGACTGTGCTCATCTTAAAGTTTCCTTCGTTAGAGCTGTGTGACTGTAGTGCTGTGAGGTTTAGCGCCTCAAATAACTTACAACGCTTAAATACCCACATTTGAAACTTTAAGAGAAAACTGAATTGTTCTAGTGACATATATTCAGGTACGAGCACTGATAGACCGAAATATTAAAGGTTTGAAGCAAAAAGCCTGATATATGTACAAAGTACACATTTATATATAGTAGCTTGCACATTAAAATGCAGTTATTAAAAAGATATACACACTTTTACATAAACATGACTTACATAAGGACGAAGTGCAGGAGAGGAAACTAAAAGATAAATAAACAACAGGGTGACACAGGAAGGATGAATCAAAATAAATCACTCAGTTATAACAGGTTCGGCTGCGTCTGTTGTGTTAATGTGTTCATCCTCTCGCTCTGGTCCTCCAGGTGGTGGGGACAGGGATGCTGGTTTTGTGTATCCTCGCCATCATCGATGGTGGGAACATTGGAGCTCCTAAAGGCGTGGAGCCACTGGCCATCGGACTCATCGTCATGGCCATCGGGGTGTCCATGGGACTGAACTGCGGATACCCCCTGAACCCTGCCAGAGACCTGGGACCCCGACTGTTCACGGCAGTGGCTGGATGGGGGATGGAGGTTTTTAGGTAACTGTGCGACAGAAGAAGACAGATTGGGATCTTGTTTTTAATATATCTGATTTTTTCTCTCATATGTGATTTCTCAAATACAGGTACATTTGATATGTGTGGGTCTTGTTGCAATCATCATCAGGGTGACACTTATGGAATAGTTTGAATATGCCACAGTTAAAAAAATATAATATATAAATATATTTATCGAATAGAAAAACATTAAATAGTAACGTGTGAATTGCTAAAATATAAATTATAGAAATAATATGTCCCTAATTTCATAATATGAATGAAAAAGAAATGATTATTGGTTATTGTCAGAAACAGGATGTTTGATCAGAAGTTTGTTTAACTTAATTTTATGTCATATGTCATACATGTCATGTTTATTGTTATATATTCCAAAAATTCAATTTTAGGAATCTAATCTGTACTAACAAATGAATTTAGTTTGTGATAAGTTATGTATTTAATGTGTAATGTAGAGATGTATATGTGTCGACCTGAGTCACTTTTATGTGTTCAGATTTGTTTTGAAGCTGCCGACATGAACCACACTTGTTATATAACGTCACATGTATTTGACAGATGCAGTCGATGGTTGTAAATGATCCAGTGATGGCTCCTCTGACCTGCGGTGATGTTTGTGTCAGATGCTCGACTCGCTGCCAGAGACGTGTCTAACTGTTGAACTCTTTCACACTCGCAGCACCGCAGACTACTGGTGGTGGATCCCTGTGGCGGGGCCCATGGTCGGGGGAGTGGTCGCGGCCGTCATCTACTACCTGCTCATCGAGCTGCACCACCACCGCGATGAGCCCGAGAAGCCCCACGAGGAGGAGGAGGACGAAGACGAAGACGAGGACGAGGACGACAGCAGTCTGAAGGACAAATATGAGATGATCACCATGAGCTAAAAAAAACATCACCAGACTTGAACCTCCAGGACTGAGTGTATTCAGATTCATCTGCTCTCACTGTCGGTCGGTCAGACGACAAACACCCAGCACAGCCTCCTCTGTCAGTGTCAGCTCTCTGTGCTCAACCTGTTCATAGGCTGTAGTCCCACCTCTGATTGACTTCATGCTCTGCAGAGACCAGCTTCTCCAGCTCAGCGATGACACCGTTAAAACCTGCACAACTCAAAGCTCACAGTAAAATAAATAAGGAAACTTTCTAGATTGAAAAACTGCTGCTAGTTCCACAAAATAAAGATGCGTGGACACTGTTTTAACAACCAACACTGGACTGTCTCCTCTGCAGTTTTATGTTTTATGTTTCATAAACACATGGAAATCTCTGTCCTGCTTCACGTTGTTATGACTTTTCATATATTTGTGTTGTAAATACTGTTTATAAAAATGATCCCCTATTGAATGTACTCAGTTGGAATAATAGTTTCATGTGCATGCCAGTTTCCTCTCATTCTTCTTCTTCATATTTGTATTTGACTCCATGTTGTTTTGTCTACATTAAAGTTTATAAAAATAACAACTTCTTACTTCAGGGACTGATTTCACTTCAGCATCTGTTTTTTTGACTCATCACTGAAAACTGCAGTTTAACTGGAGGACTTTACTGAAGTAATTTCCCTCTCAGCATTTTCACCATTAACCTCATACATCTTTGAAATTGGTGTGTAGGCTACAATAGTCAATATGAGACAGTGACAGAAAACAGTAGCAGCAACATGAATCTTTCCAGTAAAACTCACCCGCAGACATTAGAGCTGGATGATTTGTGATTCTGAGGATGATTATCACGGTCAGAATCAGCTCGGAGCTGTATTAGCTTCTTCCTGTATCATCAGTCTAGTTAACGTTGATGTGAGTCACAGTGGGGCGTCTGATTCTGACTCCTCAGGTGGTGACCCCACTGACGCACAGATGAAGAAGTAGAAGAAATGTAGTTACACCACAGAGTTACACACAGTGAATTAAACAGTGAGCTGTTCTAACATCCTGCGGAGACTCTGCACATATTCATTCAGACATATTGAAAACCGGAGCCTGAGTGTAAATTTCACTGCCGTAGAGAAAATGATTTTGATTTAAGATTTACTAACAGACACCTTCCTTATAGACCCCACAAAAACATTCACTTGACAATTCTTAAAAGTGTATCTGCCCTTTCTCCCACAATGAAAAGTCCACAGTTTATAAAGATGTGATTAAATATGTAATAAATTCTCTCTATGCAAAACCATAATAATGTGTATATATATACTGTATATATTTAAAGTAGAAAGATTGAGGTGTTATTTTCACTTCAGTAAAACTTTGTGTACTTCCTTCTTTTCCTTATACATAGATTTCCACACACGTTACTTATCAATTGCCCTTGTTGTAACAATTTCCCCGATTTGGGACTAATAAAGGATTCTCTTATCTTATCTTAATTTATCTTATCTTATAGCGAGTAGTGCCTTAATGTTTTCATGAGATATACAAAAGTCTGATTAAATCTCCTGAGAGTAAATGAAGGAGATGTAAGACAGATCTCTAGTGGCCGTTACTTGACACTGTGGACAATGACCTGTCAGTCAAGTCTTTGTGTCTGCTGTGTTTCCATCCTTTTGTTCTGCGGGCCTCAGGCTGCTGATCCCAGCGAGTGTTGGTTGCCACCTCTGGGTGACACTCAGCCGGCCGGGGCCACTTCTACAATCCTGCTTTGTCACTGCGAGGAGACAAAAGGTGCTGCTCGCTCACATGTGGGACGTCAGCTCCTTGCACAGAGCTGCAGCTTGTAGTGCAGAATACTGACCAGGGCCGGTGGCACAGGCCTCTCGGCCTGGATTCTGGTTTCAGGCACAAAGTGGCCACAGTTTGTGGAGAATTGTGGGAAAATTGACCACAGCAGCAGCAGTGACAACAATATAAACTGACTGACACGACTCTCCGGCTGCATTACGCAGAAAGTATCGAACCCAAACTCCTGTTGTGGGTGACGGTGCTCGCTCATGACACAACCAGCGACTGCAGCTCAGGATCTGCATTGAAAATCAATGGCAGGCATCATTCCATTGCATGTGCAAACGTGTGCTTCCACAATCTCACGCACACTTTCCTGTGGCTGTTACATCATCAAACACACTCATGAGGAAAGAGTCGTCAATAAATATCAACAATGATAGTGACGTGTGTGATAAACATGTGGATTAGATCAGCTGTTTGCTCGGGCAGAACTTTACAGCAGCAACATTTACTTTCTGTCAATTTGAAATAAAAATCAGTATCACTGATCCCAGCAACATTTGGAGTTAAGTTCAGAGGAGTGTGTGCTGATGTTGGCATCTGGCCTCACACGCAGCAGCTGCTCCCTCTGGTGTGGACGCCCTCATACTGCATATAGCAGAGGGTTAAAGATACAGGAACTTAATATCCAGGAATTCTCCAAAATAAAGGATCATTCAGAGCCGAGGAGGCGCCAACACTACAGAGAAACACGTCAACAAACAATCATTGTTCTCGCTGTAGACAAAATGATTATATCCACCCCTTGAACTCCCCTACAAAGTTTAGCGGAATTCCTTTTAGGAAAAAAAACTAAATAACAAACAGGTAAAACAAAACCTCTTTAATGGTGGTGAGAAGAAAAGAAATTGAAAATGTCGTAACTCATTTACATTTGAATCTATCAAAACAACTTGTATTTACACTTTTAACCTTTCAATTGATTATTCAAGAGGATTTTCATATCAATAAAGTTGGGGGGAATTGCAGCATACAGATATTTCAGTAAAATAAATATTAAGATAAAAAAAAAAAGCATCGGCACAATCTGATCTCCACAGAGCGAATTTATTTCTATTTCAGAGACCTGAACATTCGCCCTCGATAAATGATCTCTGGAAAGACTCAAGTGTGCAGATGCTCTCAGCTACAGCAGCTGTGACTATGATTGTGGTGCTTATTAGAGAAATAAATTACAAAAACAACAGACAGAATCATTGCAGGAGAAACATTTTCACTTTTAATCCCAATTTGTTCCAAAAACACTGAAATCCAACACGTCCCGTCTGTGAAAATGTCCACATCTCTATAAGCTCACACCAGTTTGTAACACAAGCTGTTGTTCATTCATGTTTATGTGTTAAATCAGACCTCAGAACACACGACTAAAACTGCACCACACAAACAATAAAAACCAAAGACTGCACACTTTACAGACAGTAAACAGGGGTCTATTTTATTTTGAATGAGTCTTTTAATTAATGCATTTCAAGTACTCCAAAAATTACATCTCTTTGCACAATACAATTTGAAATTTTTTTTTTTTTTAGTAAAAATGTTCAAAGTGAACAAAAATTTCCGATACTGTATAAAACACAGTGAACATTAAAATCAGACAGTAGTATTACTTTTTAATCTTGTGTTCTTTCGGCCTACATCACCTACCACATTTCAACTCAATTTGGACATTTTCAGTGCACGTTTATCTAAAAACTTTACCAAGACTACGAAATTAAAAAGAAAAAGTAAATTTACAGGCATTATTTCTTCTGTTCGTCTACCCAAACCATGCCACAGGATAACAAAGACAAAAATGAGAATGTAACATTAACTCCATCACACTGAATTTGTTTTAACCATTGATGATGGTGGAGAAAACGTATCATCGTAAGCAAATCAGTTCAACTAGCACATAGAAAGAACATAAATAACTTAGAGGAGAGGAAAGTTTGTCACATATGAACATCTTTGAACAATTTACTCTGGAATTAGAATACAAAAAATGAAACTGATGTATCAAAATGTCGTTTTCATCTTCAAATGAAATCCAAATTTTTCCGAAGTACTGTACAAGTTTTACACGTAGGGTTTTCTAGGCCTAATGGGCGCGACGCAGCCTAGACGGTGAAATTTAAAAAGAGCTCCATTTTGTACAGACGTTGGAAGTTGTAGCAACAGCCGACCTGCCTGAATCACCTGCTGTGTGAAATGGATGAAACCGCGAGACACAGTATTTTCATGTCCCCTTCAGAGCCCGCGTTTGATTACTACAACCATCAGGACCGTGTGCATCAATGTTATTTCAGATTCGCAGTGCATGCTTTTAAAAATAATGACGCCATAGCCCGAGCAGAAATTTGCTGAATGTATAATTTGAAACTCTGCCTTTTAATGCTTGTGCAAATCTACACGCCAAATTATTTTTGGTGTGTAAAACCTTTGCATCATAAATAAAGATTCTGCATAATAGATCATGACCAGATTTATCACACCCTTCCAACTGGTATAATCGCTTTCCCAAATCCACCTCCTGCACCGAGAGGAAGAAGAAAACATCTCTCCCACAGAAACAATCCCATCTCCTTCATTTCCTCCAGAAACCTTAACAATGAACAAAAATCAGCTTTTCTAAAGTTTTATGGCACGCTGATGTAAACTCACATTAGGGCCTGCGCTCACGGTCTCTAAATGGGTTTCAGTCCATGATGCGATGTGACCAGGAGAAAACTGCACGTGAGTTTTTGAAGAAAACTAAAACAACAGCTGCTCGTCTCCTGTGAAACTAGTGAACACAGAGGAATGTGTTAGTGAATAATGTGACAACACTGCTGCGATACACGGCTCCTTCCACTTTGTTTTAAGACTAACATTAATATTTGTCAAAGTAAATAGTGTTGAGTGACATACAAACATTACAGACCTTGGTCAATTAATAGTCACATTTAATAAATGTGTCTGCATGCCCACATTGAAAAGTTCTTAGATTCGCTATCTTGAAGAATAATAGAATGTTTTCATCTTACATTTTTTTTTGTACATCCACACCGGAGTCATTTTTCAATTTACTTCCACACCCACATAAGCTAACTCTGAAACATGACACACTCTCATTTCTAAACTAAGCAGTCTTCACTTTCCCTTGTTTTCATAACAGGTAGAATCATCTTAAGCTTCATTTAGTGGTTATTCATTCTTCTTCATCAAAAACAGTAAAGACAATAAAAAGGTGTACCTTCCTTTCTGTTCCCGTGATTCCAAACCTCATCTAGCTTGTTATGCGACATTTGCAAAATGTGATGTTAGCAAGACAGTTTTTTAAAAAAATATGAAGAAAGGGGGACCTTAAACAAACAAGGCCTAGAATGCGGGATATGGTGACCTTGTTGTTCAAATCTGGAACCTTGCAATCGAAACGTGAGAGAGATCCACCTGACTGGAAGACCGCGGAGAGAACTTGACGGCCTCAAATCCTCAGCAGCGACATCCAAGGAACTCCTCACGACCATCATTCCTTCATTCATGTGTTAAAGAGTCCTGAGAGCACTAACCAAAACAATAAAAAGAAAAAAAGTGAAGAATTACACATTTACAGTAGAAGAAATAGTTTGTTTTCACTTATGATACACTAAATATGTACAGTCACATGCAGAAGACTGTCTGCACAAGAGACCGGAGCCTGTGTCTTTTGCCGTTTGACATGTGTAAATCACAAAAAGTGCCGCAAATCCTCTCTGAGTGTCTCTCATTTCTGGCTTGAGTGTCAAAAGAAAAGCACAGAACAATTTACCAGCAGCCACGGGTGTGTCACTCAACGGAAAAAAAATAAAAATAAAATAAACACTTCACAGAATGTACTAAAGCTACACATTAATCCTTAACTCCTTGGCACTCCTTCAAAAAAAAGAAAGAAAGAAAAAGAAAAAATGTGGAGATGCTAGATCGCACTGCATTGGAAATGGCTGATGGTCGAGTCAACTCCACAAAGAGCCAATTGAGTTGCTAGATAGTGTTTTCTCTTTTCCACGTGTCCGTTTTGTCTGTAGATGGAGGATATGGTAGTGACTAACAACCATGTCAGGCTTTTCTTTGGATGGAGTGACGCTTTTGTTTCCCACTGTAGGCACAAGGAGGAGCCAAGGCATTGGGGGGAGGTGTGGGGGGGAGGTGGTGTCCGCAGGGTCTCAGCGTCTCATCTGGCCCATCTGATAGTTTTCTCTGGGCTGACGGTGGTGCCTCTGGGGCTGCGCCTGTCGCTGGGGCTGCCTCTGGGGCTGCCGCTGGCCCCCGTGCCCGGCGTGGCCGTGCGGGTGGGAGTGCGGGTGCTGAGACTGGTGCTGCACCTGGGAGTTAGCGTGCTGCTGCGCTCGCCGCCTCTTCAAAGTGCCTGTCGGGAGAAACATTCTGGGTGAGCTTGTTGAAAGACAGAATATCGATCAACAACGCTTCAAACTAAATCTTTGTGCATCATTCTGCCTTCGAAAAAGTCAAGATCTTTAGATCATTGTATCGACAACAAATGGAGGGATTTGTGAATTGTAAAGGTTACATATGGTGCAAGGACTTCTATAGAAACACTGCAGAAATGGGATAGATGAGATACATTTGGGAAAACGTTTACCTAAGAAAAAACTGAATTTATTTGAACAGGCATAACAGTCGGGCTGCAAAACATGGGTGAGTGGCAGGTGTTTGTTGCAGAACTTCCTGCTTTTCATTCTGGTGACGTGATGATCTGTCACCACAGTTTCAAGCAGTTTGCCAGCAACATAAATACTTGATTATAACTGACAAATGCTTCTTAAACCTTTTTCTGTCCAAACTTAATGTAGAGTAAATATACAAGCAGAGCAGGGTGGCTGCGGGGGATGTGAGTGGTCCCCATGTGCATGCCTAATTGTCCTTGGACAAGATACTGAATATGTTAACAGTTTAATCAGATTTCTTTTTTAATATATGAAAAACAAAACTTTGCTCAGAAAAGTGCTGTGGGAAGTGATGATGACAAATTTGGACTCATAAAGCTCATTACCCAGTCGATGGGGTATTAATGTGAAGGTAATTGTACTTGTTAAAAGCTTAATGATCCTGTTTACCTCAGATGTGAAAAAAGTTAGTTTGTAAACCTCGGAACTCACCTGGAAGTGGTTTGGGAGGGGGGAGTTTGGGGTTACTGCTCGGTGTGTGCACACTGCAGATCTTAATAAATCCAGCCATGAGCATGATGAGGGCAATACCCATCAGCAACACTGCCCACCAATGAGCCTGGAGAAGAGAAGGAACTAAGTCAAACACAATCGATACAGAAAACACTTCATATAATTATAACTAACAACTGCTCAGAATCCTAATCAATGGGACAACACATACCACAATCCACTCTGCAATGTTCTCATACAGCTCAGGGTTGAAGATGGCCTTCTTTAGCCTGGCCAGCGGCCCATCTGCATCCACCAGTCGACATTTCATGAACACGTCACAGTAACCCTTGAAATCGTTGCAAGGTGAGCCGGCCGGCAGTGTGGTCACTTTCTTATTAAAGAAACGAGCCAGCCGCTCTGATCCGGTGCTGCTGCACGTGTTAGGATTCACTGGGGAGAGCGATCAAAGATAGTCAAAACTATTTGAATGGCAAAGACCTAATCTAAAGCAGAAGGAAAAAATAGCTATGAAGCTGAGAAAAAAGGGTAAGTGACTCACTCTTCTCCATGCAGCACACGTGGCAGAGCTCGGTTTCGTCCTTGCCATCTTGGCTGGCACAGGTGCACGCCTCAAGCCCATACTTTTCACAGATGGAACCGGAGCAGCCCTGTCGGGGAGGAGCGTGAGGACAGGTGAGGTCAGGCAATGGCTGCTTTGAATGCGACATCGCTATGACAACCACTTCGGAGTGTTAAGCCTTCGGCTACTCACCCCGTTGAGGCAGACTTGTGTCTCTCCGTGGCAGGCGGTGAAGTTGGCTTTGGGCTCAGATGTGGGGCACTGAGGACTGACTCCGTTGCACATGCCCTGGTGAGCACACTCTGACTCCTCTCTGCACTTGTCATTACGACCCTTGTAAGAGCAATCGGCCGTACAACAAGGACCTTGGCTGGGACTGGTGGGAGAGAGACAAGTGTTGAGTCGTGAGGGATCACAACTAAAGTTCCCTAAGATACATAAGAAATAGAATCCAGGTCTACCTGCAAACTTTGTTTGACTTTAATTTGCACTTCTTGTTGTCGGCCTGGTTGGCATCATAGCAGCACTGGTCCTTGCACTGATCACTGTAGCCGCAGTCACACTCCTCTCCTGGCTCCACCAGACCATTACCACAGATGGGCTGACCAGACTCTGTTTAGAGAAGGAAGAATAAAAACTAAGCCTGGGCAGCAAAAACTTTGTTTCCAACTTTGACATGAAACTATTTTATCACGAAAGCCAAAGCAAAGAAAAAATGATGCAAAAGAATAAGTTGCTGCAGTAATAGGGAAATAAAATCAATGTTTAACTGTGTTCATATAGAAACAGACTACAGTGATAACCGCTTATAGTGATCACAGATATAAAGATAAACCATTTATATGGATCAAAAAGCTTGGAACAGAATCGTTCCTATACAAATGCTGTTTAAATTAATTGGTAAAAGTGATCAGGTAGACATGAATTATTGAAATGCTTTTAAGTTGCTGTTTGAAAGTTGACTTAAGTGACAAAAAAAGATAGGAAGAAACTAGAGCCTACCCAAGGTGGATTTATTTAAGGCTCCGTATATTACAGTTGAATTTAATTAAAAAATTTATGTAAAATGTAAACAATCTTTTCTGCATCATTTACTCTGTAAAATAAAAGGTTTCATATAGACAAACATAAACGTTGATATCGCTGTGTTGTATCTCATATCGACCAATATCATTGGCCAACCTATAGTTTATACATTGGTCGGGTTCTGGAAAAATATATTTAACTGTCTGTGATGGATTGAACTTTGACCTCTCCTGATATACTGTTTATTTACTATTGAATTTATTTGTATTCTATGTTGTTGTTTTTCTGTGGGCCCAAAAACTATTTATTGCATAGTGGACAACAAGATTTTACCTAACCTAGCACTATCTTCCAATTACTCCTTGTGAAAGAATTATACAGTACTAATGCCAATATTGCTTTTCAAAGCCAACATCACCTTAAGTCCTGGTGCTTTCTGAGTTACATTGATTTAATAATCAGCCTTCATAGGGTTAAAAATCCCCAACACTCATTAGAATGGCAGAGAATCTGAAACAAATCTCAGTAGAGGCAGTTAAATCGAAAGTAAAAAAAACATAAAACGTACCAACAAAGCAGTTGCCTCTCTTCTTCTCCAGCACCTGGCTGATGTTGCGAACGCTACAGATGGAGAACTTATTGTTGTTGAGCTTGTCTCCTGATGTGGCTCTTGCATACATGATATAATTGCCCTTCTCCTTCTTGTCTTGGCTCTTAGATTCCCCGGGGGTACACTCAGATCCAGAGTCATGCTGAGAGTGAGGGGAAAAAAGGTTAAAAGAGAAAAGGATAAAATGTACAAGCCCCTAATAAATCTCAATGTGTATAAATGTGGAACATCTGAGTAACTCACCGGGGAGCCAAAGTTGTGTCCTACTTCATGTGCAAAAGTGATATGGGAGACTTTGGGGGGTACGTGGGAGGCATAGTTCTGTACGGTGATTATACCAGTGTTGAGAGATTTCTTTTTTCCATCTGAGTAGAGCTTGCTTTTTTCACAGATGCCTCCAGAGCTCCCTGAGAAGCAAAAGCACAGGTTGGAACAATCCTTCCAAACCACAGCACAAAAATGAAGGATTTTCTCATTAGAGAAGAAAATCTGTTTTTTGTCAGGATAACTATTCATTATTTTTTCCTTGAATGATCTTACATATACACTAAGCAAGGTTTGGCTATAATGTGCCTACAACCCAGTACAATGAATGTAATAAAGGATTAAAGGCTTCAGGGTATATTCATATCTTGCTTGAAAATGGATCAGACTTTCTGGAGTTGCTGAATACTGATGATACGCTGTCTTCCAGTACCTGAGGGGGCTCCCACCCAGGCCAAGCCCAGCACTCCGTCATCAAAGTCTCGGTCTGTGAAAACGTAAGCGAGGCAGTAGTCGTCATGGTTCTGCTCAGAGTTGAGCTCCAGGAACTTCTCCACGCCAATATTTGAAAAGCGGAATGGGTTGGACCTGTCCCTCTCGACATTGGTGGTGTTTATCTGTGAAGGACAATGAGGACAATGTCAGAGGAAAGGCAGTGACCATATGTAAAATAAAAACTTCAGATCAGTTTATCAATACATCACTTACCCTGATCCTTTTCACCATGAAGCTGATGTTACGAATGCCCATAAAGTCAGTGCCCTGGTAAATGGCATCAATGGCCTTGACGTGACTGGAGATCTGAAATTGAAAAGGTTTCACAAAACATTTTTTTTTTTTTAAAAGCTTTGACTGATCTTAACAGAGATAAAAAAACAAATCATAACATCTCACTGTCAGATATTGACCTGTGATGTGTGCTAACTTACTATGAAAGAACAGTATGTGTGTAAAGAGCTAAGCAAACAAACTTTCACTGTATTCTTTTCAGCATCGGTGGAATAACTAATATTACTAAAACTATCCACGCATTAGCTATGCGGCTCATCCTTTCAGGGTCATGGGGGGGGTCTGGAGTCAATCCCAGCTGACATTATGCTTGAGGCGAGGTACACTCTGGATTTTTGAGTCGCCAATTAACATAACCTGCAAGTCTTTGGACTGTGGGGGGGTAGCCTGAGTACATACAGAAAACTCACACAACACACTCCCCCACAGCACTTCACAAGGAAAGGCCCTCACCAAATCAGGGTTTCAACATTGTATTTGAGAAATAATGTGAATTTGTTTAGAATTTAAGAGGAATAGTTTGATATTGTGATAAAAACCGTAACTGGAAGGAAGCAATCAAACCCTGATGCTAGCTCTGGTGTGATTTTTTTGTTTGTTTCGAGGTTGTTAAGTGTTAGGACTAATCACTGGCAGAGGTGTTATTATTCTGATACCACCATTTTTGATCATTTAAAATCTGCCTCTGTGGATGGAATGATTTCATACTCGCTGTGTAAATGTCATTTCTACAGCCCTGCAATGGCATGACTCAAGTGACTGACACTGACTGTGTGTTACCTGAGCAATGACAGCCTCTCTGGTCTTGTAGTACTTGAAGAAGAGATGGTCAGTCTGAATGAAAAGCTGGCAGGTGTTTTTCTCAGCCTGCGCCATCCTCCTCTTCCTCAGCAGCACAGGTTCGTTAAAACCTGCCTCAGCGTAGAGCTCCTGGTGTGAGCAGAACAGGAGACGGAGAGCAGGAAACAGTCAGTTAAATAAAACATATATATAACATTTTCAACCAAACAGTGGGTAAATAAGTAATGACTGGTATTTTTAGGCTGTGGTTTTTAGCTGCAGCATGTTCATAGGCTGCAACTGTGCTTAGGAACATGTACTTCTCATGTCACACACGAGGAGAGTGTGGAAAAAAGAAGGAATAATAAGGCCGAATGCAAACTTAACCATTTAAATGAAAGACTTTTATTTTGGGGGAAATTTCTTGATTGACTCAAAGTGACAACTGGACAGTGCTTCTCTTGTGTTGTGTGCAGCTTTAGGAATCTTCAGTTTGTCTCTCTCCAGTATTACCATTACAATAATATACTTCAGAGCGAAGCATCTGATTATAAAAATAAATAACCAGTGATAAAAATTAAATACCTGTGCTTATCTGAGGGGTTGTGATCAGAAAGAAAATATATACAGATATCAAAAAAATGTTCTCAATAAAGCATTTGTATTTTTGGTTTGGGTGGTAGAAATTGAACATAGACAAGTATCTCTGCTTGGAGTAGAAAAACAGGAACAACTTGAGAAAGGGCTTAAAAATCTTTTTTGGTTGGCAGAGTCTGAGGATTCTGAAAATACCGTCAGAAAGGTGTCACGTGTTGTTAAAAGGCCTTTCAGGGATTTCAAAGATTGCTGCTGAGTTATTTTCCAGAAAATTGGATGCTTAGCACTGTGACTTTAATTTAATGATAATGGTGAGCATGGGAGGCATAGTAGTTTGTGGGGTGAGAAGTAACAGCTGCTATTAAATGAAAAATACAACATGAAATTTCTCTCAAGATGAATGGCTGATCAGACTAAATTTTGTACTATGTAATTTCACAATTCACATACAGAACACAATGCATTAAACCTCTAATGTAAATTTTTATCTGAATACATACACATACAGAAATACACTGTAGCAGGTCTTTGAATTTGATTTTTACTAAAAGTAATTCCGAAGAAAATGTCACTGTTAGAACACGTGTTGATTATGTGTCTATGTGTTTGTTGAGAAAATATTATTAGGCTAATGTGTTAAATGTAACAGTACAGTATCTAAGCTTGATTAGACAGGTTTGATTGTTTCATATACTATGTTGAGGATTAGAGTGTATATTTGTATGGAATTTGAATGTACAATAGTTCCATGTGAATTCTTTGATTAAAATGAAATCAGGAGATACTGTGTGCAACCCCACTTTAGAATGAGAAAGTAAAAAACATTCAGCAAAGAACAAGTCTGTTCCTGCTGTTCAGATGAGCTACTCATTTATCATGTTGACAACCACTAATTAAGTAGAGATGGGCTTTTCTCACCAGTCAATGTAAATTCAAATTGCACAGAGACACTAAAAAATGTCTCTGTGGGCATCTCTGGAGCTGGGTAACAAAAAGAAATGTCTTTCTTTAACTGTGAGGGTTAATTGTGGTGTGTGGTGAAGTTTCACCTTGGGTGGCTCATCTATGGCAGATGTCTGGTACTTCTTCATCCTTTCAAACACTGAGCTATCAGCACAGCCTCCTTCTGGGCCATACTTGTGCGGGTAGTCTGAGTGAGAGAGGCAGACACAACACTATGAGGATTAGGGGAGACAATGATAGCTACTTAACCCCCTGAGTCACTCTATTTCTGGCACTATTCATGATCAGCTAATGGATGTACTTACACGCCACTTGAGCCTAGCTTTGCTGTGTGAGCTGTTACTTTCCTGTCTCCCTCATTAGCGATTCTATTCACATTTCTGTTTAATTTGCCCCTCAGCATCATACTATATGTACACAGATGATTTGAAATTACAGGGTGCCAGGGTAGTGAAGTGTGTTTGGTGCTCACTAGTAGTACCAACATTGTAAAGACTGTGTAAATGAGCTTGTAGCCAAAGAGAAAGATCGTATTACTCATCTAATGAGCACCTCAGGTATCTTTACTCCCTGGGAGGTGATTTATACCAGTCAGCCTCCATCAGCTCCACGGCTCCCACCTCGCACTGTCCCGACCACACATTTACATATGCGTGCATTCAGACTCTCAAAGCATTTCTGTAACTGAATTTGCTGGAAACTTACGTATGTCGTCTTCGTGGTAAATGACAGAGTGGAAAGGCACATCTTTGCCCTCCAAGTATCTCTCTGCAGGCTCCACGTAGTAGTTGCCCTGGTAGCTCTGAATGAAGCCCTCGAACTTACCATCCACAATGGAGCCATGAGTCAGGGTACCTTTCTCTCCTGGGAATCCAAAATTACAAAGTTATAGATGTTTTTTTTGGTTTTTTTTTTTTACACAAGATCAGAAATGTGTATTTCAAAAACAAACAAAAAAAATCAACATAATACATAAAAAACAAAAGGCCTAGGACTGCATTGCTGCTTTGCTTTTACTTCAATAAACACATTCAAACAAGTGGGTTTAAATGCAGCCTTACCATAGATTTCTCCAGTGTAGATATGAGCCGTATCATAAGGAATCTCTTCTCCTGAAACATCTACCTTTAAATCTTGGGAAAACAAGGTGGTATCCCTCTTCATCCGTAGATTAAAATGCCTAAAATCAAAGACATAAAAATATACAATATGGTAAAACTGTTTCTTTGATGTCCCAAAACTGTCTCCTGATTTATTCATGCCATATTCATATTCATGAGTGTGAGCCTATGGATTTGGGTGTGGATCTGAATTTGGATTCACTTTGGAGGTAAGCAGTATTTCCCAAGCCCTTAAGAAAAAGGAAAATGTAAATGAAAATAGCGAGGAAAGGGGTGAAAGCAAGGACATGGTTTGGTATCTAAGCCCTTTTCCAAGCGAAGAGAAAATGAGGATTTATTGAAACAATGGTGTTTTTTTGTCGATTGAACATATGGTAGGGAAACAAAGATGTTATAGTAAACCTTGGGTTTCATGTAACACCTACACAGTGCTATCATTGTGTGCTTGTGTTGTGTGCAAGTGGTTGTTGTGTAGGTCAGTGCACAGTCGCTACATTAACTGCTAGAAAACAGAGGACTTTAGATCTGCAAAATATGCTTAAAGTTAACATGATGACTAGACACATAAATCTTGCCCTTACATGTGAACAGTAGCTATTGAGTCACAGCAGTTTCGTTATGACTTAGTCTCAGGGTGAAAATGCAAGGTACACAAAGAAAGCAGAATAACAGCTATTTCAGCCATATTTAGACATTTTGTTTAAATGAGGCAAAAAAAAGAGCAGCAAAGAATTTGGGTTGCATGTCTAGCTTTGACACAAAGTCAAAAGGAAAAGGAGCTGACACACTTTTCAAAAGGAACAGATATCTTCTTTCTATGGGCCTGTTTTCTTAGCTCTTATCGTTGTCTTCCCTATTAAGCACCATCGGTGTATAGGAACAGCAGGCTGTGCTATGGGCAGGGTGAAAAACAGCCTCAGCCAAGCTCCTAGCCAGATGGTCTTGACTTTGTCATGGAAAGAGTGGGCACTTTCCATCAAACAACACCACCTCTTCAAAAGGCTGGACGAGGAACCATCATAAGGACATGATAAGGACATGAGGTGTCCATCCAGCCATCCCTTACTATATCTTGAGGGAACCTCAACCTGACTGTTTTATCTCTAATGCAGTAACTACCATAAATAACTACAAAGAAAATATTTTTAAATCCGCTATCACCTGAGTCAAAACGATGCTCCTGACCAGGTTTATGATTTCATAAAACAGGATTAAATGTAAACAAATTTCAATCACTCTGTAGATCTCTGCTACAGCTGACCTCCAACTTTACTCACAAAGCATGTAGGCATATGTGATGAGCATTGCAAAGTAAACAGACAGGTAAATAAGGAGATCGACAGAGATGCTGTTAAATTTCCCTTTAGGTTAATATCTGCAAAAAACAATCTTGACAAACCTTCCATGGGCATGAAAATCTAAATGAAGGAACTTGTCTTCGTGAGTGACCGCCCTCTTGGCCCTCTGATGCTTGCTGTGCACAAGCTCTGTGTCGTAGGACAGGCCTTCATAGTGACGGATGTACTTGTTCAGGGGGTTTCTGTAGTGTCCTGTTTGAAAAGAACAGAGGGACTCCTGTTAACAACAAGAAGCAAGGACAATTCAAGGCTAATACACTCTTGTGAACTACACACTATTCCAGAATCTCAGAAATGGATAGATCTTTCTGGCCCTGTTCAGACCTGGTATTAACATCCATCCTGAGAGATCCGATCCCAAGTGGAGAGCTATAAGTTTGTCTGTTCACATCTGGACTTAAAATCCTTCCTGAAATGGTCTCCTGTGACTGCTTCTGATCTGATTCCACTTCCCCACTCTGTATGGAAATAAACATGCACATCCTCTCTTCTCACAAACACCAAATGATGTTGTTTTTATCCAGTCTGACTATAGAGACGGGAGCACTGTCAATGTGTTTGGGTGTTATCAGCGTGTGTGTGAGAGAGAGAAAGAGAGATAAGAGGAGCCAAGCAAAGCCGAGTAAAGCAATGCAGTAAACACAGCTTAAAAAAATAGAAATGTAAATAAAAAAATAGAAAATATGAAATATGTGGAAGTCAGTGTTGATATTATAGTGTTCACTGCTTATTCAGTTTATCCGGAAAACACAGAAAATTGTTCAAATACTTTAGATTCATTATGAAATCAATCAAAAGTAGTGTATTCAGCTGGTTAGCTGAGTAGGTGGTACTTCAATGTGGCCCACAACACATTTGCGTCCACACAGCTTAAAGAAGGTGGACCAAATTCCGAGGTGGTCATAGAGATTGGATCTCAAATACATTCTCAATGTTCCTTGAGTGCATTCACACCTGTACTTAGAGGTGTCTACTTCAGATCAGACCCCTCAGGATGGATGTTTATACCAGGTCTGATCGTTGTCTCATTCGTTCTCAGATTTGAATTCATTTACTGTACATAATCAAACATAATAACAATAATATGTGAACATGTTACTAAGATTTCATCACAATAATATACTGATAAAACACAATACATGACCAAATGTCAGAGATAAAACACAAACGTTCAAGGCCAGAGGTTTCAAACAACCCCGGTACAACAGCGTCTCTCTCACATCTGTTAATCTTGGCAGATCAGTTAAACCTAATATAGTTAAAGAAATAGATAATGTGATTTGAATCTTCAAAGTATGATTTGTTTTAGAGTAAATAACTGAGGCATGGTTCATGTTAGGATAATTGAAGTGTTCAAAAGAATGGATGATCGGACAGATATTTGACAGGAAGGATTAGAAAGATGGAAAATAACAGCAAACCAGCATGGTCTGTGTTTTAAAATTCAGCTAAATCTATTTAAGTCAAATGGATGCCAGTTTTGGAGCTGTGCTAAACAACTGCCCCCAGCATCGCAGCATAATTATTTCGCCACCAGAGGAGTGGGTGGCGGGCTTGAAGGAGAGAGATTCTCCAGCACCTCCACCCATTTCACCAACTGCTTCACACGCCTTCTGACAAACTCCACAGGCCATTTAAGCCCTTCTGAAAGTTCCTTATACTTAGATCTTTGCCCCATAACATGGAACACAGAAGAAAGTATTTTCAGTAAAACCAGTTTATGTAATTAGTACTCTCTGACAGGTAATTATCTCAGAAGACTGAGCCATAAATTACAGGATTCAGAGTAACCATGTAACAAAGATGGGTAAGTAGACCAAGCCTCAGCTTCTTCTCCAGTCATGTGCATAATGAAATATTTAGGTGCTAACATTGAATTTTTCATTGAGGTGACTATGAGAAGTAAAGGCCATGACTATTCAGAAGTATCTTAATTCCTCAAGGCCTACATCAGATAAAACCATAAACACTGAGCAAACACAACAATTTCTGAGACTTGGACTTCTGCGATCATACGAAACCTTCAGAAACACTTACAAACCCACAAAATCCAACATAGTTATATAATAACGTGGTCAAATAATGTATCCCATGCATTTCTTTATGTTAATTTCCCTACATGAGATTGATCAAATGTTAGAAAACTAAAAGCTACTTTTAACACTTTGACAGTGGCTCCAATTTAGGGTTTAAAATATACGTATCACACATTACTGAGTGACACTGATGTTATGATGGTGGCTATGGATTAAGGTCTGATTGATTTGCTATGGGATTTGTGAAATGTAAGGTAATCACTAAAGGGATGGTCATGTGTATTTATATGAAATGGGAAGGTAATATAAGAATGTTCTCCCTTCCTGCTCCTTATTTCATTGAGGGAATGTAAACAAGTATACAGGTCGAATTTGTTTTTGGATTACATTGAAATTAATGAAATAAAGTAAACTAACGGACACTGTCGAGTGACTGACACATTGTGTATAACAGTAATATAGCTAATGTAATTCAGTTAATTTCACCTATATACAGGTTGTATAGTGTCAAAGGTTCAACTATTAAATCCCTATAAAATAGAGGATTCTTTATATTATCTCTGTTCAGATAACATTGCGGCTAACAGGGTGAACCTGTACCAAACAACACTGACCAGCAGCTAAACAGACACTACAAGTATGCCACTAAACATAAAAACTCATTACATGTAACGTGTTAGCTGTAGCCTAGCTCAGGTAACACAATGTCGGGGGCTAAATGTGCTGTTTTCACGATATTGTCAACGTTAGCGACTACAGCGCTAGCTAGCTCAAAGCTAACGGTCTGCTAGCCGAGTCGGCATCTCCATCTTCTCATAACAATGGCTGTCGGCGCTGTTCCCACGATAACAACAAAACCGAGGCCAAGCCCGACAGTAAAAACCGTGACAACACAGGCAGACAACCGGGCGACGTCGCTTTGTGTCAACGAGCTGCGCGGATCCGGGTCGGCTCCTGCGCTGCGTCTGGTTTGTTCGCTGGAAGTGAGAAAAGGGCGCAGTTCTGTTGACAACACGCAGGCCCCGCTGAGCCCTCCCGAAGCTAACGGCTGCTACACCAGCCTTTTCTGCTCCTCTCTGCCGAACCGAGGCAGCGCGGCGCCCCGGAGCTTTTCCCCGGACACGTCTCACTCACCTTGGGTGTAGTTCAGTAAGTAGGCGAAGAGGAACACTTTGAGAAGAAGCATGTCTGATAAATCCATTGTTAGCGCATTGATGCCGTCCTCACTTTATTGTCCTACTTAGAGGCGCAGCCGCCCTGTGTGTTTATTGCAGCTTCCTCTCATCTCCTCCCTCCCTCCCTCGCTCTCGCTCTCTCTCTCCCTCTCTCTCTCTCCCTCTCCTACGCTCTGACGTCACGCGCGTAGCAACCTGGCATCCCTTCCCCCAAGCGCGTCCACGACCCAGGTCCGCAAACACTAACCAGGATGTAATGTAACGTAAAGTAATGTAACGTGACGTAATGTGTGTATCTTCTCCAATCCTTACGGAAACTTTCAAAACGAGGAAACCAACGTGATTTCTCAACATGTCCCAGAGTCCACATCATTACATCCAAGGTGCTCTTAGATTCTAACGTTGGTACAAAGTTATCAAGCACATGTACTCAAGTACAGGTACTTCTACTTTACTTTCATACTTGGGTATTTAAATGTATAATACATCTTTAATTTTGCACTTTTACTTTACACTAATTTGAAACTTATATTTCGTAGCTGCTTTGTTTTTAAAAACAAAAATATGGTGTATTATTATGGATTAAATGCATTGGTGTGAAGCCCTGATAAGGTTTACATGAGGTAATTAATTACTAATATAAATCATAAGGTAATTTGTCTTATGATAAAATAACTTCAATCAATAGTAAAAGTAAAGCCTCTTCCATTTAGTTTGTTTTCATCTTCTTCCATAATAAAATTGCAATCCAAACAACCTGTGTGCACAAAATGTCATCTTATTCACAAAAGATTAAAGGAACATCTTCTCGAGACCTTGAATGCTCTATAAAAAAAAGTATTATATCGTTCTGTAACAAAATATTTTTTACTTTCACTTGAGTAAATATCTGATACATAAAATGCCTGATTTAAACTTTAAACAAAAATGGAAAATCAATTCCCAGGTCCAATTGTGAGGATTTGCTGCTTTTTTCTTATGTGATGATTCTTGTAGTAAATCGACTTTTATTCAGACAAACATGATATTTTATAGACCAACCAATTATTCACAATATGGAGAAAACAAACAGCAGTTTAATCAATAATGGAAATAATCATTAATGATCTTTTTCTCAGTTACCCACTGATGTTTTATTTCTGGTAGAGTAGCAGCAAAGTGTATTATATATATATATATATATATATATATATATATATATATAGCCACTTTATCACAGTAATTACTTGCAAAACAAACTCACAGAGCCATTTTACAATTCATAAGAAGCCAACTACATGTTTCTGTTGCTTGGCAACCCAAGATCCCGTGAATGTGGTGTTGGAAGAGAGAAGGAAGCACCATCAGGTTTGTGTGGTCGTTGGACCAATTTCCTGTCATGCATAACCTCTGATTATGTGTAAGCTATTTCTGATCCTGGCAGTTCTCTGTGATGATCATCCCATGATGCACCTCTTCCTGTTGATGCAGTGGTTGACTTGATGATAAAAACACATTCCCAAGGAACACTCCTTTTGACAACAATCCCCTTACTCAAACAGAGTTAAAGTTGTATATGGAAGATACATTGAGATTTGTGAGTAAAACAGAATCAGCACCCAAATCATGTTTATTTCAGTATTTTTGCTCTGTTTCTATTTAATCTCTTCAGTCATTTATTTTTGTGTGTTTATTCCAGGCGAACTCCTCTGGCTCCACAAGCTTCCACGTGACACACCTCTACATCGGCCCCCAGTTTCTGCAGCTCATCCAGCCAGATCTGTTGTTTCTGGGACAGCCGGTCACTGGGCCCCTTCACCTCCACCAGCTAAAACAAGATAACCCATGTCACAAGGCTATGCAGAATAATCAGAGATGATTTAGGGATCAATGTAATTCTAATAGCTCGGATGTGACGGTATCTCACCTTGTAGGTGTTTTCTGAGGTGTTCCAAACCACCAGATCAGGCAAACCTCCACGACAGTGTCTGTAGTCTTTTGACATTCTTGCTATTACTCCTCCTAAGAAGGCTCCACCAAGGCAAGACACCAGAGACTGCAAATATCAGCGAATAAAGGTGGTTATGTTAGTACCATGTTAGTACCTCGTAGACACATTTTATCAGTTATTTTTTGAAACAGATTATTTTTCACAATAATACATCACACAATGTAAATAAAAAATAGAATACACTATTAGATTCATATAATGTATAACATGACATATAATGACCTCAGACATTTTTTGTCCATTATTTTTAAATTGGCAAAATTGCCATTTTTGCTTATCAATCTACACATCGTACTGATAATGCAGAAACTTGTTTTCAGAAATTTTAGCTAATTTCTTAAACAAAAACTGAAACCTTAAAAGTTTGCTTTTAATTAGTTATTCGATGTTATAAAATGGAGTAAAACATCACGATTGGCTGAGATCGACTCCTGAGTCATGTATCTGCAGAACTTCAGTACCGTTGCTCCATTAATTGCTACAAGAGTAGACGTCTTCGGCAAAAGATGTCAGAGTTCATATCTAGGATATTTTGACTTCTTTTCTGGATAGTGGGAGGACACAGACACATGACGTCCATCTTTATATCCAGTCTATGTTTATACTAGTCTTCCTTTCCATGCTACTGAGAAGGCCCCTCCCAACGCATCGCACTGCACATTCTAAAGCTCTGTTAAATGACTTTTGATTGTTGGACAACTCCCTGACCAAGGTCCTTTTTGCCAGTCATTTGGGTCGGACAGGCAACTCTCGGAATTTCTTTTTCACAATAACTGTGATTACTGCGCCCCTGGGACCATTCAAAGCTTTAGAAATGGTTTTGTACCCTCTCTCTGATCTATGCCCTGCTAAAGTTTTATCGCAGCGGTGTACAGAGACCTCCTTGGACTAGATGACCTGGGTTTTGTCCTGACATGCAGTGTGAATTATGGGACCTTATTTACAGAGGTATGTACTTTTCTAAACTATGTCCATTCATTTTGCCACAGGTTGAATCCAATCAACCTCTAGACACAAACAAAGGCTCGAGTGCCACAACAAAAGATCTTAATACTTTTGTAAATGTGAGATTTTGGTATCTGATTAAGAGATTTAATGAGGATTTGTAATTATTTAAAAACATATTTAAATTTGCCATTATCTTGCACAGATTGATGGGCATTTATGGCAATTTAATCAAATTAAAATAGCATCAACAACACAATATAGTGTGCTAGTGCTTTATTATACTGAATACTTTCTGAAGCCACTGTATACTTGCAAGATTGACAGTAAATACCTGTGCATGTTGAAGAGATGAGAAACGCTCCCAGCTGACCAATGAACACACTTTACCCTCCTGTGAGGTCCAGACATCCTCTAACATGCTATGTAGCGTCTCCACAGACGCCTCACTGAGTAACTGAACACGTGAATCTATTGCCTCCTTCCTGTTCTCATAGAAACAGTCGGTGTAAAGATCCAGTGGACATGTCTGTGAGAGGAAATAAACATGAGTTAAAAACTTGTTCAGATACGTGGTTATTCAGCAAAACTTATAGAGAGCTTAATTGACCTGGTATGGGTTTCGGAAAACATCTGGAATTCCTTCCATAAAAATGACGTCCCACAGCAAAAGAGCAAACAATGTAGAGAAGGTTGAACCCTCACCATGGATCCCTGTTACATTAACAACAACAATATATTGTTCTTGTGATCAGAGGAACATCCACGTGTTTTAATTTTTCATAGGGCAAGAAACAATGTTTACCTTGGTCAAATCCTTGTTGGCGGTAATGTGCTAAACACAGCTCTTCCACAGAACATATTACAGTGGCATCATCGCTCTCTTTCCCCTCCTCATTTGCATGTAAAAGAAACCTAGATTTGCCCATGCCTCCCTCATGAGGAAACAGCTGTCCTCGGATTGTAACCTGCAGACAAAAGTACAAGCAGGAAAATATAAAAGTAATAAAAGGGTTTTCCCAAGAAAGCTCAGTGCAGACATACTGCAGCAAACTCACATGTTTGACATCTTGGACTTGAATAGTGGGTAAATCTCTGAGTTGCAGGCGATACTTCTTGAAGCTGGCAGACTCTTTCATCCGAATGGCTCTCTGATGCAGGGAGAGTTTATGTCCTGTTCGTACCAGAGTGTCTGTCAGCCCATCTCTAATAGCACAAATTGCCTGAATGCAACAGGAAAAGAACAGCAGCCATGCACATGAAAACTCGTCACATCTATTCCTGAGCACGATGAGTGAATGAAGTGATAAGGATGTATCTGAGGAGGTGAGAGGATACTGCAACTCACTTGCTCAGGTTTCTTTAGGTGCTGGTGAAGGTTTAACGCCAGTCGGTCCCACCATCGTCCTCGACTGTCAGGACAGTAAACGGACTGCGACAGTAAGGTGTGCAGCTCCTCTACTGCTTCCTGTGACACAAAACTCCTCTTTTTAATGATGACATACTTCAAACATGGTTACATGTGTGAGTTTCAGTGGATGAGGTCAACAAACCTCATATTGACGTAGCCGCTGCAAGATCTCCACCCCTCTGGATAAAATACGAGTGTAAGACCATCCTGTAGTGAAGCTGCGCAGGAACACAGGCAACTCTTCCTGATGACTATCCAACACAATAATAATGTTAATGTTTAACAATCACGAAGGACTCTGTATCTGTTTTTCAGACAGAAACAAATGGATTGATAAATAAATTGACGGCTCATCACCTGAAGTCATGGTTTTTCTTCAGCTCCTGCCAGGCACTTTTGGCAACAGTGTAAAGCTCTAGGGCCTCTTCCCACTGACCTGCCTGCATCGCTGAGTTTACCTCTTGCAGAGATCGCATGGATAATTCATACCTGGTGGGATGAATGGAGTTAGATGTATATATTCCTGTTTATACTTCTAACAAAAACATCATCTGAACCCTGTTGGCAGGCCCTCACCTGATCAGGTCGTCTCTATCCTGGAAAACCTTGGTGGTACGTTGCATTGTGTAGTCTGGGAAGGCCAGACGCCCTGAATTGACGAGCAGGATGGTAAAAAGCTGGCTCTGCCCAGCAGCTGCCATCTCTTCCTCATCCATGGTGTCCGTCAGAGAGAAGAGCAGAAGGATGCGGGAGAAAACAGCGCGAGGACCATGACACAGACGCACACAGGAACCTGCAAGCTTTTTCACCCTTTAACGTTGGAGAGGAAAGCACAGGTGTGAAATCATTACAACATTAGTAGTACAGTGAATACAAAGTCACTGCTCATCTCACCTTTTGAGGATGACAGCCCTGATGTTTTGAGCAGGGCTCAGAGAGAAGATGGACTTTTGTTTGCTCAGATTAAGCAGCCCGTCCACAAGCTGCTGTTTCTGAGTCCCAGAACTGCCCAGATGGAAGCTTTTAGCCAGAGCTTTGAGTTCAGGAGCGGGCAACAGATCTAGAGCCTCTCCGAGGTCCTCAAGATCATTCTCTTTAAGATAAAAAATCTAAATTTAGCGGACATCTGAAGAATAAAAATAAATAATGTACACATTTGGGTTGGTGTGGATTTTCACAAGGATAACACAAATGGTATTAACTCACAGTTACTATACAACAATTCAATAAGTCATTGTCTTAGCAGTAAAAAAAAATTAAGAAATATTAAAACACAGCTTGCAACAGTCTACTAATAAATGTCAGTAATTTGGAGTTTCGGCCAACTCAGCCAGAGATGTAACATATTAAAAACATCTGGGCTTCATTTACCTGACAGCAGAAAACCACTTTGAACCAGCTCCTCAGCAACAGGTCCCAGATCACTGCATATCTGTTCATAATCCAGTTTATTTACTTGAAGCCACTTAAGCTTCCTCTGAAAGAGCCTCACATACAGCTTCTGCCCCATGACTTTTGATAGAGAAGACACATGAGAACAATTATTTCTATTCATTGTTGTTAAATTATAATAACTGTGTGACACTCTAGCGTACCTGATAGCTTCTCAAATGCGTGTACGAGTGACATATCATCCTGGTTGAACAAGGCTCTGTCGTCTTCATTCTCCAGCACAGCTTGTAGTACAGTTCTGAAGTTACGGAGGTAGTATGGAAGATTTGGTGGATGAAGGCTGTCGACAGCTTGGTCGCTGATGGTCTGCTGAGCAAACTCTGGCAGGGAATCACTATTAATGACTGCAGTGGTTAAATCACATATCTCCTCTGAACTCAGAGGGAGGTCAGACGTTGTGGAAGGCACTAGAGTTTTATCTTGGTCTGTATCAGTTTTTTTGGCTTTATTTTCACTAGAAAACACCTCATCTGACTCCCTGCTCTTGTCAAATTTTGCTTTCTTAGTGAGAACGGAAACCTTGCCAGTGGAAGCCGCTATCTTTTTCCTCTTTGCTAGTTTGGAGGAAGAAACATGCAACTTTGGAGTGACTAGTTTTTGGGAGGTTTCTGGCATAAGAGGTCCTTTTTCTGAACACGATAGATATGTCACTGCTGTTGGAGTCTCGTCGCAGGTTTCTGTCAGGTCGATGACTTTCACACAATCTTTATTGTCCTCAAAACTCTGATTCAGGACATTTTCTTTCTGCGAGCTGCTGAGAGTCTCAGGAGGGTCACTCTCCTTTTCCAGCTGTTCACCATCCGTTTGTGTCCTCTCAGGTAGGTCGTGACACGTTTTAGATAACTTGGAGGAGAGACTTCCCAGGTCAATCGTCCTGACCACAGTTTTACTGTTTATCTCACGTGGAGCCTGCTGAAAGTTATTCTTCTTGAAGTAAGGGCTGATCTTGGTCTCTTTGACCTCCTCTCCCTTGTTTCGATCCTGCTCTGGGGACTTTGCAGGATTCTTTCTGGGTGACAGCTGGGTGCTTGGCACAACATTATTACTTGCTGAGGTGGCACTGCTGTCTCCTCTGTCAAAGTTCTGACATTGCAAATCAATGTGCTCATTGATCCTGAATCTTGGTACCAGTTGGCCACACAGGGGACAGGCCAGCTTGGATGGAGGCTGGCTGCTGAAGAATGAGGTGATTGGAGTCATGGAGGAGGCAGCACTGGCAGGAGTCCCAGCTGAGACATTACCTTTCTTCTTGCTCTTGGACAATGACAGACTTATCCTGGGTTTGTCCTTGTTGGCTCTCTCGGTCATTGTTTTGTTGCTCAGTGAAAACGTCTTTCAGAAACTTCTCTTCGCTGCAAACTTCTCAGTGTAGACAGGGCTAACAATGCTGTGGTTAAGCTAACTTAGCTTAGAGATACTCACATTTAACACGTCGCATATTTGCAGCTTGTTTAGTCTCACGTGCGTCCCAAAGAACACAGAAACATGAACAGAAACCCTGTCAGTGGCTCAGGATGTTAGCTAACGTGCCGGGTAGCATTTAGCCGGAGAGGCGCTGCAGGGCAACAACAATCCCGCTTCTCAGGCGTAACCGGCCGAGCACAGAATGACTGTCAGGGGGAAGTAATCGATCCCAAGTGAGTCGATTATATTAAATTAACTAAGCAAAAAAACACAAACGGGGAAATAAACACAATAGGATGTAAAATAAGTATGTGTACAAATTTAACTCAACTTATATTGTTTGAATTAAAATACAAAAAATACACATAACTCGGTTTTTTTTTTTCAAAAAAAATTAATTCCAAATGTAATCACATATGGATTTTTTTTTCAAATTTAAATGATCGCTTATTTAGAGAATGTTTGGCTGTGCAGACCTCACACGGTGTGTGTGTGTGTGTGTGTGTGTGTGTGTGTGTGTGTGTGATGTTGGGGGGCAGTGAGCACATAATGGAGGGTGGAGTGGGGGGTGTATTTTCTTACACACGTTCCTGGGCTGCTGTGCGGCTTTTATTCAAAACTCACCATTCCGGAGAGCAAACCAGATGTGATCGGCACACGGGCGTGTTTCACATGGAGGGACAGCGACGGGACTGATGCTGGTGAGTGGAAACACGCTGGACTCGTGTGTATGCGTGGACGGATTAAAATGTCACAGTGATGCATTTACACAAATAGGCCCCGAGAAGAGCAGGTCTGAGGAGGACAATGCTGTGATGGGCTCCAGCATCAGCCTCTGAGCTGCATGTCAGCTCGCTGCAGCCTCCACATCAAGGTCGATGTGAATTACAGCAGCAGCAGGATGATGATGATGATATGATGCTTACAGATGCTGAAGCCAGCAGCGTGTGTGTGTGTGTGTGTGTTGTGTGTGTGTTGTGTGCGTGTGTGTGCGTGTGTGTGGAGGGAGTGGGCTCCATTAACGCACACTACAATGTACGCGCAGGGAAAACCATATGTCCGGTTATGTTATCGATTTGTGGCCAGATGTGAGTGCGGCGTCCACATGCGGCACATGCTGCGGCAAAAGTTCGGCGTAATGGCTTTATTAAATACCACCGCAGATCCGCAAAGGGCAGGGCAACATGCGTGAGAAGGGGGATTGCGATGGTCCCTATTGTTTTCAATTAGCAGAGAGGTCATGATGAGGTCTGCGTGGTTTATTATGGGGGTTAAGACCACCACCATTTCAGTTTCATCTGATCTGATCGACACTGCTGTGACCACAGTGTTGAATCCCCCCCCCCCCAAAAAAAAAGCTTGAGCCACAACAGCACAGCAGTGTTTCCAGTACAGCCACAAGATGCTTCATGTTGAGATGAGGGCTTGGTGATGATGACATGTTTATACAGGGCGTGTAGTGGCAGCAGATCCAGTACACACACAGTATATATGATTTTAAACCGAGGAGCCAAACAAGCCAAAACACATGAGATATACATGTGAATATAGATATATATATATTTGTGTTTAAACATTCATATTGTGGGGCCCTGTTTTCTTTATGGGGACAAAAACAAGTCCCTATAAAATAAATCATTGCATTTGAAGGTGAGGTCATGTTTTAAGTTTAGGTTTAGGTTTAGATTAGGTTTAGATTAAGGTAAGGGTTAGGCAAGTATAAGTAAGTAAATCTCCAAGAAATCAGTTAAGGTCAATTTAACGCCAAAGTCTGTGTGTGTGTGTGTGTGTGTGTGTGTGTGTGTGTGTGTGTGTGTGTGTGAGTGTGTTTGTGTGTGTGTATGTTTACCTATAATTTCATGTCAAAATGGCTGCCATGAAAAGGGTCTATTATTTTGCTAATGAATATATTAATAATAGATTGATAATAGATAATAGATTGCTTGGGCCATAGTAAGTAGTGAAATGGGCCCATCAAAAATGAGTATCACAGACGTATATGTTCACATTACAGGGGCTGGAACCGCTGATCTGAGAGATTTCACGTGATAAAATGCAATGAACTGATTTTCAAAATAGTTGCAGATTAAACTTCTACTAATCCACTAATCAATCGACAAATAAATTCACCTCTATAGGGACATATGACTTAGTTTGATTCATGCAACTGAGTCGTGATGGGTATATGGCTTCTTTTTTACCGTTGTTTGGCTCCTAAAATGCATAAAAAATCACAAACAAGAGGACACAGATACTTGATTTCTACCAGTTGTGTTTACATTCTTGTTGAGCTATAACATTATCTGTTCATTTGCCAATACACAGGCTGTTTTGGTGTGCTTTGGTCCAGGTCAAACATTTATTCAGAGCTGCTTTTCAGATGTCAAGAGAATGATGTACTGTTCCACACACAGTATCCTCAGAGACTATAAGCCATGAATCATAAATCTGGCACACACACTATAACCACACTGTATGGATTATTCTGGGATGCGTCTTTGTAAGAACTATAAGTAAACAATGATCAAACAGAAAAGAAACACTGCATGCTGCTGGCTCTGCTCACTTAGAGTAGTTGTACAGCAGGTTTCCTGTTCTGCAGGACATCAGGACAGAATTAGAGCAGACACAACAAAGCAAGACGGCAGATAACAAACAACATCAGCAGACAAAAGGGGTGACATGACACGTGTGTGGGTGCTGAGGGTGCAGAAATAATGGATGAATGTAGATCAGTATGACGTTCATCAGTGGATACTTGTTTGACGTGCGAAACAAAGACATTTATTCAGTTATTGAAAATAATCACTAGCCACAAGTCATTTAAGTCTGGTGTTTGAGTGCTGCTCTGTTAGTGTCGTTGGGTTTTATCCTAACAAACAAGTGAAGAGGTGGTTTTGCTCCTGAAATTAATCTTAATGGCTAAATAATTTGTGTATTTACAGAGAAAGAGAAGCTGCGATAATTGATTTAGACAATATTAGTTCCAATAAATAGTTTATCTGTTTATTTAACAGAGGCCATGCACAACACAACAATTGAGCGGGACACACACAACTCATTACTTCCACAAAGGAGGTTAAGTTTCATCCGTGTTTGTTTGTTAGCAGGATTACTCTAAAACTACTCAACTGATTTCCATATTTGTGGAGGGCTGACCCAAAAAAGATCCCATTAAATGTTAGTGCAGATCACGGGGCAGATCCAGGAATGGTTTTTCACTTTCTTTAACAATGCAAGATATGCTGTTTTTGTGCAATCTGGTGCAAGTCCAAAAATCCCTGATCTAGTGAATTTAAATGTGATGTCATAAGGGGTCTGTTGGGCCGTGGTGGATGTGTGTACTCTAGTGCCATTTAGTTTGGTCCCTTGGCAACACAATATAAAAGACATTACAACAATTCACAGCAAACAACTCAGAGAAATTACACACGGTAGATCACATATAAAACATCATAAATACACATGACATAGTGTCCATGCATGTTAGAAAATGAATGTAAGCTTAATTATAAAAGCTAGGATTTGTTCAGTGACTTTTCTGAGAACTAGGAAACAGGCAGCATGGTGTTGTTGATAGCATGAAGTAAACATTTACTACAAATTTATTTTACTTAACTGATAAATAAAACAAGTGGTTATTTATTTATGTTAACAGGGTTGACAGTGGTGGGCATGCAGGGCCAGTGATGGCTCATGGTAAAAACACAGGAACCATTTCCAAAATATTGGCTCCCAACCCTCCACCGTGCCCCGGTACAGGACTCACCAAACAGAGCCACGAGGAGCAGCAGGGTTCGGTGAGGGAGGCGTCTGAGCAACCACCTCACACCTTCAAGGATGACAACACCGACCAGCTGACGCCTCCTGCTTCTGCCAAACACTTTTACATGAGCTCTGACCCCAGTCCCGAGGACATGGAGGACACCTGCTCTGAGTACGACAACGTGGGCTCTGATGTTGAGCAGGACTATGACGAGGTGCTGCATTTGAACAGGGAGGGCATGGTGGACATGAGGTATTACAAGCAGTACTGTCCCGAGGATGCTGGCTACATAAAGCATGCAGGAGGTGATAATATTAATGAGAACAGCAGCGCTGTTGACCAGTTCACTCCCAGAGTTCGTCATAGCACAGAAATATGTGAGGGATCGCAGTCTAACACTAAGCCTCTCAAGACGGGCCATCGCTTCAGGTCACACTGTGTCCCCATTCCTGTGGATGAAGCAGAGAAGGGAGCAGAGAAGGGCCAAGAGAACAGGTTTGTTTATAGTGACGGAGATGAGATAGAGGAGGTGCTGGATGGGGCCAGGTTTATAGAGGATTTAGAGGAGACAGTGAACACTGTTCAAAGACCAACCAGCCTTTATCCTGGCAATGATAATGAAAAAATTAGAAAGGGAGGCGATGAAAGGGAAAGAGAAGATGTCACCCGGGTTACAAGAAACCCTAATATCCAAGGAGCCAGTAAGAAGTGTGAGTCATCCCACATGGGTTCAAAAGAGAGGGAGAGGCAGGGCAAAGGACGAGGGAGGAGGGGAACAGCAGAGGACACTGAGCATATTGTCTCTGGGATCAAACGATGCTCGACCAACAGCACTGAACAGCGTCCAAAGGCTTCAGTGAGGGACTGCAAAAAGGCCGCTGTTCGCACCAAAGCTAAGTCTGGTTCCAGTAAACAACATCCTCCTCCGCCACCCCGTCATTCCCACGCACAGTCACCTGCAGATGCCCAGAAGCCACAGTCTCGCCAAGAGACTCCCCCAGTTCCCAGACCCAGTCCCCCTTCTGCCAACGGCCAGGAGAACAAAGCCAGGGTCACCAAACCCTTGCCCGCTCCTCAGCACACACCACAACAACAGAGGGAGCCGCTGGAGGAGAGGCAGAGACGGCCAGAGAAAACCCAGCAGGTAACCACAGCGCACAGGCCTGATCTCATCCTCCGTAGCTTGTGTTTGTTAATGCTTGTGCCACAAATACTCTTTGTCCCCCTTTTTCCATGTGGGACAACAAGAAACATTTAAAACAAGACTTGGCCAAGTTAAAGCAGATTTTTGTGTACAACAGGGTGAGAAGCCAAGCACAGCCGTGATGCCTGAGGATGTGGTGGAGCAGCTGAGGAGGTCTCATTGTCAGGAGCTCGTCCCTGCAGAGATGGCCAACACACCCAAGGTGAACATGTGCTTTCATCTGTTTCATCTGATCCATCAAAGAAGGAAATCGGCAACTTTAAATGTGTGACTTTGTAAATTCACCCTCATAATGTCATCTTTTTTAATTCACACATATATATTTTAACGATTAACCACAATACACACAAATACACTTGAAATCAAACTAACTAATAACTAATACCTTATTTTAAAGAAAACACAGGAGGCTTCTTCTTTCCCCAGCTTTGAAGATGGTAAATATCTCAGAATGTCCTTCTTATTCATTAAAATATATCATATCTATTTTGATATAGTTTATCAATGCTGCGTGTTAGTGTGTCACAACGCGAGGTGTTTGTTCTGCTGCATAGTCCCAGGTCCCTGTGAGCCAGAGGACCTTATTGACGGGATCATCTTCGCTGCGAACTACCTTGGCTGCACTCAGGTGTTGTCTGATAAAAATCCATCCAAGTCTATTCGCATGTCCCAGGCTCAAGAAGCTGTCAGTCGTATCAAGGTAAATCTTCAGGGAGGCAGTCATGAGCATTGTTTTGGTTTCTGAATCTTTAAATCTGCCACACATAGAAACAGACTCAGGTGTAAATGATTCGATTCTGGATCTAGGATCCTGTTTAGTCATGTTAATGCTTCTGGAGCATTAATTGTCAGATTAATGGAGATTTGAACCTGATTCTCAGGATTTTGTTTGCAGGTTTAAAGAAGAGACTTGTTCAGTACTGGCAGACGTTTATGCTCCAAGCACTTGTCAAATAATTTATTTAAAAACATTTTTGTAAGTGTATAGATGTATCTGTATTGGCAGGTTAACTATGAATGAAACGTCAGCAGTGCAGTAGATTATTTTTGTTACCACACGGTGGAGCTGTTGTTCCTTTTTTGCCTACAGTTCTTCCTCCTGTCAGTGTTTTGATGACAGACTGTATATAAAGTATATATTGTTTATATTCAGACAGATGTAATATTGTATATCTGTCTGAATATAAACCTATGCACAGTCTATGTGTTTGGACAATGAGCTCAAAGTTTATGTTGTGAGATAAAAATACAGAAAACTAATTTAAAAAATGTTATTTATTTAAAAGAGCCAGGATGAAGACTCTCAGATGATGACAGAAGTCGACCTGTTCATTTCCACTAAAGCTGTCAAAGTGCTGAACGCTGACACACAGGTCAGTAACTGAGAACTTTGTGTGTATGTAAATGTGCCAAATTTTCCTACGTAGGCTAGTTTGCATCTGCAGTCCCTAGTAGGTAGACGGTTTAAACATACAATCAACATATATGTATATGTATAAAAAAAAGACACTTCACATGAATTCTTATAAAATCATGGACAACATGGATAAAAGTTAAATAGCACATAGAAGGCACAAAAGTATAAATGATGAGTAAAACAAGATACAGACACAGACGTAACAATTGAAAGCAGATAAACAATAAAACAAAACACACAAAAAATGTTGGCCCTGCGATATGCAGGGGACTTTTCCAGATTGTACCCAGCTTCTCACTCAATGTCAGCTAAGATTGGCTCCAGCTCTTCCCGGAACCTCAAAGGATAAGTGGTACAGATGGATGGATGAAGAATATTTAGCTAAACAACAACAATATTTCATATTCTTGTTGCTCCATAGGAGACAATGATGGACAGTGCCTTGCGTACCATCTCTTACATCGCAGACATTGGTAGCATTGTGGTTCTGATGGCTCGGAGGCGCGTGTCTCAGGCTTCACCAGAGGAATTTTCAGAATCTCCCGATTCAAACGGCGAAGGGACGACTCAGTACAGGATGGTCTGCCACGTCTTTGAGTCCGAGGATGTGAGTGTTGTGTGCTTGACTATGGATACTCGTGTACTTTTGGGTTTACGCTCAACTTTATTTATCTTGTGGTCACTTTAACCACCGTGATCCCTCTCACCTCTTTACTGTGGTCAACTGGGATATCCTTTATTCTGAGTGGTTTTCCCCAAACGCTCCCCTTCCCACAGGCACAGCTGATCGCACAGTCCATTGGTCAGGCCTTTAGTGTGGCCTACAGAGAGTTCCTGCGAGCCAACGGCATCAACCCCACCGACTTGAGCCAGAAACAATACAGTGACATCATCAACTCCCAGGAAATGTACCACGACGACCTTGTCCATTTCTCAAACTCAGACAACTGTAAAGAGGTGCAATGTTTTTTTCATGAGGCGTAATGAATGATGGTAACCATGAATGATTTAGGCAGAATCTCACATTCAAGAAACTTCAATTGATGCCTTTTTCTTCTTTCCAGCTGCATGTGGAGAAACAGAAAGGGGAGAGCCTCGGTGTGGTGATCGTGGAGTCCGGCTGGGGCTCCATCCTGCCCACCGTTATCCTGGCCAGTATGCTGAACAGCGGCCCCGCAGCTCGCTCGGGAAAACTCAGCGTCGGTGACCAGATCATGTCCATTAATGACACCAGCCTGGTGGGGCTGCCGTTGGCCACGTGTCAGGGCATCATCAAGGTACAGAGCTTCTCAGGGAGCTCGAGTTAGTGTTTACAGAGTCTAAACTGTGCCTCAATCCTCACTTCACAACAAAAAGGTCTATCTCTAGCACAAACTACAACCTCTGATGACACCCTAATAAATTAAAATGGATAGAAACAGGTATATGTTAATATGAAACCATACCATTGTAATGTTAAGTTATTCCATCCACATTATTATGCAAAAACACAGCCAACATCACGTGAAAACAAAACATTGATCCAAGCCCATTACCAATTCATGATGTTATTATGTATTTCAAAAATATACATTTTAATTGAATTATTGTTTTAAAAATATCTTCAGCTGTGGATTTGTTCCACTTGTGTTTAGCAGGTAGATTCATGTGGGTTCAAATCTAAATAAATGTCACATAAGTGAAACTTTAGGGTCTGTAGCTCTGAATGGTCTGTATTTGTACAGATCTTTTCTAGTCTGTCCACTTTACAAGCACTTTAAAGTTTTTGCCATTCACCCATTCACACACAAGTCATACTGTGCATATATGCACCAGTCACAATCTGCACCACAGCAAAATTTGGGGTTGGTGTATTTCCCCAAGGACACGATGGCGTGCTGAAGAAAGCTCCCATCATCTCTTCAGCCAGTTTGAGCATGTGAGCTCCGGGAGGCGCTATAGAGTTCCTCTGCCAACTAAAATGTTTTTAAAAAGGCCTTAATAATTCCTCACTCAACAAAGTCACATTCAGTCCACAGAAAGACTGCAAGAACTCTTTTTGTTTGCAATTCTATTCTATTCTATTTAAAGTTGTCCTTTTAAAATAAGGTTATGTGTTTTTGTTTCAGGGTCTAAAGAATCAGGTGAAGGTGAAGCTGAGCATCGTGAGCTGTCCTCCTGTCACCACCGTCCTCATCAAGAGACCTGATCTCAAGTTCCAGCTGGGCTTCAGTGTTCAGAACGGCATTGTGAGTAAGCTCTTGTCAGTGAGCAGCGTGACACTAAACTTTAGGGTCAGGCTCAAAATGAATGGTTGGCTACTTCTGAAGAGCACCAGTGTTTTTGATGCAGTCACAGAATCTTTCTCACACCCTCAGATCTGCAGTCTGATGCGAGGTGGCATTGCAGAGCGAGGCGGTGTTCGTGTTGGACACAGAATCATTGAAATAAACGGCCAGAGTGTTGTTGCCATGGCACACGAGAAGATCGTCCAAAACCTGTCCGTGTCAGTGGGTGAGGTAAGAAGTCTGCATGCCACAAGATGGCAGTTTTCAGTAATTACTGAGGCACACCGAGCACTGAGCCATGCAGGCCTTTTAAAGAAACACACACAAATTAGATCAGTTTGAGACTGGTTCAGATCTGATCTATAAATCACAAACAATCTTTAATGAAAATAGCTCGGTTAAATATTTAAACCTTAATGATAAAAGCTTAGTAGTACATAGTGCAAAACATGGAGGTTGATAGTTTGTGAAGATTTAGTTTGCCAGAAATGTATTTTAATTCCATACAATGCAACTCAAAAGTTCTTGACAACAAATAAAATGAATATACAAAATAAAGAAAGTATTAATAAGTGTAAATATCGGTAATGTGAAGCAGAAGCCAGTTATAAATTTGTCCCTAAAAGCCATAAAAGCTTGTCATGAATGGATCTAAGCTCTCCTCTGACTCAGATTCAAGTGATGTGAATAGTGACTGTGCCTCTACAAGTGGACTCTTAAAGTTGGCAGTGTAATGCTCGTCTTGTCTCTGTCAGATCAACATGAAGACGATGCCGGCTGTGATGTTCCGACTGCTGACAGGACAGGAGACACCCGTCTACATATAGAGTCCCTGCATGGATTGGCCCACTGCAGCTCTGCATGTCTGTGCCGTGTGACGACCGCTGACAGACAGACGACGGACAGGCGGCTCGGTGGGACGAGGAGAATTTATTTTTCTATCATTTTATTTTTTTTCGGCCTCTCGTTGCAATGCTGTAAAGAACACCCAGTTCTCATTTTCAGGTTTCGTCTCGAATACATTGTCATAATGGCCTTACAATGTGAATACTCTGTCTGTAGTACTGTACGTGAGTTTCTGGTGATGAGGAGAAGTAGCTTTAAGGTCATGGTTATTTTCTTATGAAGAGATAAATTGGTACATTTATTTTTTATTTAGTCATTTTTATAATGTGTATGGAGTTTAAAAATGTACTTCTACTGTAAATACTTTGGATTACTCAAGGACTCGATTGGAAAGGCCATATTACTCCTACAGTATATGCATGTTATTATGAAGAATTACTGACCAGGGATTAAGTCTCAATCTGACATGATAATCTATTACAGTAAATATTTAAAGAAGATGATAATATGCTGTACAAAGGCACTAGACTATGTGTATTATGGTGATGCTGACGGCCAAAGACACACACAGACTTTTCAAAGACATACAGTATGGGTTATCATTATCTTTACCAGAGCGTACAAGAATGTATAAAAACACACATTACTGAATGTAATGTTAAAACACACAAAAAAAAACACAGACTCACTGCTGAACACTCGCTTGTCTTTAATTTATTAAGGTGTTGCTGCAAAAAACAAACAGATACGACAATAAAATACATTTGCTTCGTTTAGCAATTGATGGTTTGAACTTTCATGGGTTGTTTCCTCTTGTGTTTTCACATTTTTGGGGAGGGGGGAGGGGGGGTGACGCCGCTCTGAAAGTATGCACAAATTAAAGTGCCCATCAGCAACCTGCGTGCACTGCTAGGAATCCTGCACTGGCTATGAAATGTCAAGGTGATCCAAATTAAATGGGTTGAAACATAGACTTCATATCAAGATGGAGGAAATGTCAGCTCAAAAAGTGAAGCCAAATCATCTTGAATGCCCTCTTGTGGCTGGCTGCAGTATCGTTCATAAACATTGCCTCCTCCATGTTAGTTAACAACATGGACCAAACTAAAAAGTGCACTGTAAATAGCACTTTCTCAGATTTGAAAGTAGTTCTTATGGCACTGAGTGTCAGTGCTAAGTGAATTTGGTTTAAACACTTATTTGAGCTATAAGTATGGAGTGAAACATCATGATTGACAGTTGAGACTGACTCATGATTGGTTTAGAGCGTAATTATTTGCGGGACCTTGATACGGTGGCTCCACTCCACGATCATTACTATACAGACATGGGCGTCCATTTTTATACACATTCAATGAGTTAAACAGTGACAGTAACATTATCCATAATGCCCATATAAATGTATATCCACATTGTATGGATCCCATACAAGTTAATATAATCTATTTACAACTACTCTAACATGAACTTTACAATTCTTTTTTACAGTAAATCACTTCTAAATTAACACTTACATTCTCAGTTAGGTATTTCAAACAAACACAGAATCATTTGCACATTCACAAAATAAATCTTCAAGTAGTGGATGGAGAAGTTCCATCAGGGAAATATGGGACGGCTTCATATATGAACCTGAAAGAGAAAACAAATGATTGTAGTAAATGAGCAGCAAAGGAGGGGTTAATGGTTTTATTCCTGGTTTATAAACATTTCACCATACCTGTGATTCATTACCTCCACCCAGGAGGTTTTGTTTGTCTTTTATTTAGCAGGATTACGCAAAAACTAGCAAAAGGATTACCACAAAACCTCATGTGAGGATGTTGTATGTCTCAGGGAAGAGCCCATTTAATTTAAGTGCTGATCTAGTATATTCATTTTACATTTTCGCAATTCTATAATATTGAATTGGTCCCATTTTTCAAATATCCAAAATAAGACAACAATGAATAATGCTCTATTGCTGCTTATAGATAAATGACTACTCCATTAACAAGCAGCTAATATTTACAAGGGTGGCAGTAGAAGAATTATCACCCTCTTTATTCTTAATTCTACCAACTTACCATGCTAACTTGTGATGTCAATGGGGAAATCGTCACTCCTTCAAGAAAAATTGAATTCAGGTATCCCTCCTCGTTAGTACCATCCTCATCTTCATAACTGTCGATGCCACCACTGAATGCCTCCTTCATCTTCTCTGGCATCATGAAATCGAACATCACCACCAGGATCCCAATGATGGTGCACAGGACACCTGCAAATCAACTCAGTTACTAGAAATCACCATCTTCCAGTATGATCTGTGAAATATATTGCAAGGACAAAACATCTGCAGCCATGTATCTGTACCTGTAGCTAGAGCCAGCCAGAATGAGTGGCTGTACGCTGTTTCGAAGGAGTCGGTTCCTATAGAGAAAACACACTGTGGCGCATTCATGACAGTGGAGAAGGAGGCCATGGAGAAGAAGATGAAGGCGGCCGTCGCAATCATCATGTAACCAGCGTACAGGATGACCGGCATAGAAAACAAGATATTGGCAAGCATCCAGCAGCAAAACGCTGTCCTGTGGAAGTGGGAAGCCATTATTGTTTCCTGCTAACTGCTGAATTCAACTGCATAACATCATGCTGTGGGTGACGTGTGGTTACCAGAGGGTCGCGGAGGCGTATCGCCCAGAGTATCTGTAATGGAAGATGAGTCCACACGGGCTGCTGAGGGTGAATTTCTCAGCGATATACAGGATGGGATTGGGTAAACCTTTCTCCAGAGCTTCCTCGTACTCTTCTTCAATGGTGTCGTGCCAGCTGAACATCTCATTGTAGTCGATGGTCTCGTTGAACTGCACAACAGGATTGCCTGAGAGAAAAGAAATGTAAACTCAGGCACGTGCACTAAGATAAATGCACCTAAAATACCAGCTTAAAACATGTAACTCTTCTCTGGAACATTACAGCTACCAGTATGTAAATTTAACCACACACAACCGCAGCGACTCACCCTTCAGAGTGACGTTGATGCCGTACAGTCCGACGTGCAGGCCGATTGTAGCGTTGACCACGGCATTGCTGAAAGACTTGTAAGTGGCAGTCGTGGTCATCCTGGCCTCGGCCCAGTCGTTAGTAAAGTTGAGAGCTGTGGAGGAAAGATCATAAAGGTTTATCATGAGGCCAGGGAACTGAAAATCTCTGATGTATTTAACGATGATGATAACAACACAAAACTCACCCACTATCACCGCACCTATGAACAAGCTGATGATTATTCTAAACATCCAGAACAGCCTCTGATTGGAAGTGAAATAAGAGAATGAATTTTATTTTGGTGCATAGGATAAAAAGGTGGAAACAATCAAGTTAAATCATCCTAACAAGCACAGAGGGGCGACGGCATCTCTGAGGTTTTGTGATATGAGTAATAGTTAACCTGATGACTCGCACTCACCGACTTCCCTCGTATCCCTGGCAGAATGAGCAGAAGACTCACTGCGAGCACAAGGAACACCAGGATAATGGTGAACAAGCGGCCGCTGAAGATGAAGGAAGTCCTTTGTAGAAGGTAGAATGGGTAAATGTCATCGTAGAAAGTCATCTTAGCTCCTGATCTCGCAGACACAGCTGAGACTGGACGGTGCGACAGAGGAGACAGTGTTAGAGGCGGCGTTCTCAGTTTCCTCCAGATGCACAGATAGCAGCTCCTGTTTCTTTACGGCAGATAAAGGATGGGACATCATTGTCAACGTGTAACATTGAACATGACAAAGTGGAGGCATGTCAGTAACATTCAACTTTCATCGGCACTGTTTTGCATCTTTACTGCAAAGACAAATGTGCATAAATATGATGCACAAATGCAATTCTGTACATCTGACCAGTGTCAGAGTGATGTCAATATGTGCTCTCAACATTTGAACCTAAATAAAGGTTCAGAGATTGGAATAAAGCCAATCAGTGGAGAAGTGAATAACCCCAAAAATGTCCTTACCTGAAAGTTGAAAAGACGAGCAGTGAAGAGGAGGAGAAGTGAAGTGTGAACGTCGAGGGGAACATACACTTCTTTTATACCACCTGTCTCCTTTGTGTCACAGAGGAGGAGGATGGATTCAGTGAAATGCAGCTTGAAAGAGGTGTGATCCCCAGATGTAGACCATTCCCATTCGTTTGGCACAGGTCACATGCAGTTTGTGATAAGCTGTGCAACACATGTTTGGCTTTAGTGTTGCACCACAACCCCTCACCTGTACCTGTGCTCCTGCACCTACTGCATTCAGCCTCTGCAGGAGGTAAGTCTCAACTATTTCATCTCTTCATATAATATTTCACTTGATAACTGGAACATTTGTGTTTAGAGTTTACAGTTAATAAGGAAAGTGTCAACGTTTTTAAATGTTTATTCAAGCGAACAAAGGGCAACTTTTCTTCATATTTTTGCCAAACTAACTTTATAACTACTTAATATAACTGTAAATGTAACTGTAATAGAGCAGTAAACGTTAGTTACCTTCACCCTGTCTCCAGTTCCCAGAAGCACTTCTCTGCTCTTGTCAGAAGTCTGATGTCAGGACCATCTCTCGCATCAATGGATGTGCGTAAACAGGTTTGGAGTGTGTGCGCAGTGGTGGGCTTGGTGCTCCTCGTCAGTGAACGTGAGTAGACGGAGACTACAGTTTATTAAAATAACTTTGCTGAACTCAGGTGATGTGGAAAAAGTGTTTCAACAAACTCGCCATGTGTTGAACAGACTCAGGTGGAGAGAAAAGCTGGGAGGTTCCTCGCTTTGACGGCTGGTACAACAGTCTGGGGTCTCCAAGACGCGGAGCTGTCGGTGAGTTATCAGAGCGCATAGCGGCGGCAGTAAAAGAAATAGTACTAAAAGTAAAAGTAGTGATAGTACTAGTTGTAGTATAACACACAGTGGTCACCGCTGTCTTCGTGCCCGCGCAGGTTCTCACCTTGTGCGTCTCGTGCCCGCGCATTACTGGGACGGAGTCTACCAGCCAGTGCAGGAGCCGCTGCTGCCAAACCCCCGCAGACTGAGCAGCCTGCTGGCACAGGGCCCCTCCGGTGCACCCTCCTCACGCAACCAGACCGTGCTCTCACTCTTCTTCGGTAAATATGTAAATGTATTGGACTTTGCTCTAAAAATATTACTGCGAGTGCGCAAAAATTGGATACAAGCCAAGCCAAAGGCAGCATTCCAGCATGGCTCCCATATTTGCAGATGCAACAGAGAAGTGACATGGGTTATGCAAACTAACATATAACAATACATCTCAAAATGCAAAATCAAATGGTCTGACGTTTATAAAGAGGACATGACATCACATGAGATGGATGGATGTACTTTATTGATTCCAAACTGTCACACAAGTAATGAAAATGTTACTGGCCATTTCCTGGATAGTTGATATCAACAGTATAATTGAATGTTTACTCCAGTGTCTTTATCATTACCCCTGACAATATGTTAATTTTAGTGGTAATTGCATTTTGATGTCATTCACTTTTCTTGAATATTTCAGGGTATCATGTCACCTTTGAGATTTTTGACTTAAGACTTCCTGGGTGTCCACCTGAGTTCATGAACATCCCCGTCCCAAAAGGTGACCCGGTGTTCGACCCGGCCGCCACGGGAAAAGTCCTGCTGCCCTTCCAGCGAGGACCATGGGACAAGGAGTCTGGACAGAGTCCCAGTAACCCTCGCACTCAGGTGCTGATCATTGACTCTTATCAATATGAATATC